TTGCTTGTAGCCTTCTTCTTGGTAACCTTGTTGCTGGCGGTCTTGGTGGTATTGACTGTCTTAGCCTTCTTGTTTGCGTTGTTGCGTGCCGGAGCCATTGTGATAGCTATATAATATAGCAATTTATAAATGCTGGTAAAGGTGAAAGCGAGACGTTGGATGCTGGATGATGTGTTGTTTAGAATGTGTGATTGAATGATGATCTGGCGCAGGAAAGAAGGGTCTTTATACTCGCTCGCCCCGGCTCTCATACAGCCCAAGTGCTATTGTACTATTAGATACTGCTTTGTTTCAACCATAAATAGTGTTGTGGTATAAAGACCCAGAGTAGGCCATTCAAATACCTGAGAGACAATGGGTTCTCAAAATATATGTATGTGTATCCATTGTGAAGGTGAACTGGTCAGACACATGAACCTTGATAAATTTAGAACAGGTAAGAACTGAACGGAGTGCCAGAAAGTGGCCAGACATGTATAATTTTAGGCTCAAAGAAGTGAAGAGTTGAGGCAGGGGAGGACAAGGGGAAGCGGAAGAAGTACAAAGAGACGCAAATAGCGGAATGACGCTTGGCGTCATGTGGTGGGGAAGCTCCGTTGCGACACTTTGTCTTTCTCTTTCTCTTTTCCCCAACTCTTCTGCCTTTATTTGCTTTGTTCTATTTGCTTTTTGTATCCCTTGTCATGCTTGTACATTGATTTATTGATTTCCAGTTTCAGCGCAGAACCAGACATGGCCTCCGAACCGACCGAGGAAGCTATCACCGGCTTCGTCACCTTCACAAGCACGACACGCGAGCAAGCCATCGGCTTCTTGAAGGTAGGAAATTGCCCCCGGGTTAATGAATGATATCTCTGCTAAGTTATTCCGTACAGGCAAACAACCTCGACTCACAGAAAGCGATCAACGCGTACTTCGAGGATCCAACAGGTTCTCAGCTTAAGGTAAATTTGGTGACGCGCAGCAACTCCCGGCTATGATCTGACATCTCAAAGCCGAAGCCGATAACTAGCTACTGGAATGACAACAGAGGCTCTTGTAAGATCACCTACTCATGCGAGTTCGGTTTGGCAATTAACGTACCCCGCCCCAGCATGGGACTTTTCCCAACAAGACAATGCGCCACCAATGCCAGCGACAGCACCGCCTTCCCGTCCTCCTTCCCGAACAGACATACGCGACCCGGGACAAAATACTGGATATCAAGATTCTGTCGGGACCGCTCCGAAAGGTATCACAATCTTGACATTTCAACTGCAAGAGGTATACTAACTTGCGGTTTGACCCTATAGAAGGTTCCGGACAAGGCCTGAGTCTGGCGGAACGCGAAGAAAAGGAATTGCAGCAGGCTGTTGCTATGTCATTGAATTCGGAGATGGGACAGCAGGAAACCGGGGTGACATTGCATAAACAGCCGCAGTTCAGTAAAGCAACCCGAGATCACTACGAAGAAGATGCTTGGGCGATGACCTTATTCAACACATCCTCCGAAGAAGTCATGATTAGCCCAGACCCGGAAGACCGCAAAAGAGTGGAGGGCGAGCCTGCGTTCATCCGCCCCAACCCTGAGGGCATCTACCTCGGAGGGCTCTTGACAATTCTCCATAGTATTCCCCTCGCACGAGAGGCGCTGCTCCTGCGGAACAAACCGCTATTTGACTACGGCCATGACTCGCAGTGGTGGAACGGGCAACCCATTAACCTGCCAAAGATTGTCACGGTAAATGATGGCAAGGCCGGGGATAGCGACTGGGATGATATCATTCACGAAACCCAGCGGCTGATGGCTTTCATGGATACCACGAAACGTGCTTTTGGCAGCAGCGACAGCTTGGCAAAGATCAACAGCATGTCATCCTTATCGGCAGATTCGGAGGAGGTCGTGACCAGGTTTTTGGAAGCATGGCATGGTGCAGCCATCAAGGCAGATCCTGAAAATCCGCTGGCAACCATATTCACATCACATGCGTACAGGAAAGAACCATTCCACGATTTTGCTGAGCCCGATACCAGGGAGCTCTTCACTTTTGAGCCTCCTGTCGAGCAGGACAATGACCAAACACTCTATGACGTTTTAGATTCTGCTTTATGGTCTGACAGACCAGGGAAGGAGCTAGATGACGCATGGCTTGAACACTTGGCAGAGGTGCTAGTCGTTAAACTCGATGCTCTTCAAAAACCAAAACCCGTGGGTGTGGATATTCGTTCTGTGTTCTATCCAGATCGGTATCTTAGCAGCTGTCGAGATTTTGCTCGTGAATTTCGTACAAAACGACAGCAGATACAGGGAGATGTGTTGAGACTGGAACAACTCATACATCGCTATACCATCCCACGGGACCCCATGGGGAGCTCGACGATCACGGAACTCCTCGAACAAGCTGCCCAGGCGGTGCCAGTGGTTGCGCCGGGGCAAATGAGCGAGCCTGATCAGTCCAGCTCCAGAGCGGCAGGCGCAGAGACGACGCGAGTTGCAGAGGAATTAAGAGCAATTGCCACAAACATAGAAGCAAAGCTCAAAGGTAAAGACAGCTGTTGCTACCATGCTCATACTTTCGGCTAATAACCCGAGCGCAGAACTCGAACTTAGAAAGCAGAGTGCCATCGAGTCTCTCCGTGAGATATCAAAGGCACTTACGGAACCTCCCAAATCACCTTCCGAACCCCCTGTCTACAAGTATACGCTACGAGGCGTATGCACTGAACCACATGTGACTTACGTTTTATCGAATCCCAAAACAACTGCCCCAGGACACTTGATGGACATGGACTCGGACACTGAAAAGAGCAATGACTACCAGTGGTGGCGTATCAGCTTCTCGGCTGAAGATGGAAAAACCCGACAAGCCGAAAAACGAAAAGCCCAAGGCAACACCGCAGCCACGCAGGATGGCGAGGTTGTTGGCTACACTGTTCGGAAAGTTCAAGAGAATGAAGTCCTCCAAGCCGCTCGTGAAGAGTGGAGTTCTGTCTTACTTGTTTATGCGAGCGAGAATGCTGTGAATGCACAAGTGGATCCTGCGCCGTCACAGCTTCAGGTAAGATGCAAAGTCTTTCTCAGATCCTTCTAGAGTTTCCGGCTAACTGAAAACAGGGCTTCGTGAACAGAGACAACGATGCTTTTGGGGACGAATTTGGGAATACCCCTACCATAATCTTCAGTGACCAGGAAGACTCCTGGGCGGAGTCGAACAACGCGAAAAGTCAACACAAAGAACAACAGCCTGGAATGTCAGAGAAGTCAACAAAGGTGAATGTCTTTGACTACGAAGTTTCCGGGTTCGACGACGAGCCAAAGCCCAGCCAAGAGATGCAGGAGAAACCCGGAGCGAGTCTCTTGGGTCATCGTGCCATCACAACTAACTCCACGGCGCCTATTGACCCACAAATGGACTCAGGGTGGAACAATGCTGACGATGAGGAAATGACGCATGATCTTGAGCCTGCGAAGTAGCATTGAATGAAGCATGCGGGAGAGCCTATGAATAATGAGTTGATAAACATGTAGATACTGTAGAGCAATTTTAATGATCATATGGCAATGGACCCCCAAATCCTAAGCATCGATAGTATATGATGAATCCTGTATTATAGGAGACAGATCCTTACGTAGAAATCTCCCGAGGTCCATGTACGATGTACATTTTTTGTGGTCCGGTACGGAGTACAGCTAGCTGATAAGCTTGTCCCCACATTTTGCCATGTTTGCAACCTCACCAAGCTCCTGGCACCCTCTCTCGGTCAATTTCCCTCGCAATTCCCGCAATTGGTCTTTGATCTCTATAGACCATGACCCTCGAAAGTGACGCAGTGGCCGGAGCCACCATCGAACTCCTTGAGGCGCGCCTACGCCGCCTCACTTACCTCCTCACCGGTGCCACAGACTGGACCGGCGTCCCTAGCGCACCCGAAAAGCCCGCATCCCTGGACGAGACAGTCTCTCGCCGGCTCGCACGGCTAGAATCAGAATTAGGACGGCTCAGTCGGAGTGTACCAGCCGTACGGGATGTTCTGCAACTCCGTATGTGACCAGTGTTGATATTATTTACACGCCCATTACCACCACAACACTCCCGCTCGTCTCATAGCCTCTCCCTATTTGAACTTCGATTCCTGATATCTGCATAATTGACTCAACTATCTACTCCAAACCATACTAACACAAACCCAACCAGACGACCGCAACCCCGACCTCTTCCAGACAACACCAACCCACCAAATCCCCGAAGGCCTCACAACACAAACCCTAGCCTCCATAGTCCTCTCCTACGCCACTGCCTTCCCTGAAACCGCCTCGCGCCTTACCTCACTAAACGACCTCCCTGTGCCGGACGCGCAGAGCTCCGCAGCACTAATCGACCTACAGCCACAGCTAGACAGGCTTGCACAGACGCAGAGCAAGCAGGCGGCTGAGATCTCGGAGCTGCGGGTGCGCACGGCGCGCGTGCTGCAGCGCTGGTACGACGTTGGTCTTGTTGGGAGTGGGGAGTGCTGGGCTGAGTGGGAGGGGAGACTTGAGGATGTGGAGAGGGAGATTAGGAGGGGGGAGGTTGTTAGGAAAGGGAGGGAGGAAGTTTAGAGGGTGTCTTACCAAATGGTCTTGTTTCCGATGATATTCTGGGGAGGAGCTGCAGGGGTGTGACATCGCTGGCTGTTGCTATTGTCTGCTTTTTTTGTTATGATACCTCTGGTTTGGGCGTACACGGTGTTTTTATCTCGAAAAAGCACATATGGGTATTCCTAAGTTTAACATGTGTATAGAAGGGGCTTGATAATCTACAACATACATATATATACATATGTATCTTGGCATTGAGGTTTACATCTGAGGGGAATATGATCACCAGCTCAGTCAAACTGCGAAGTTTATACGTTTTAATATGGCGTATACAAAGTTATTCCCCAGGCTCCCCCTTCTACAAAATCAAGTGTTCCCACCTCGTACGTGAGAATTGTTTATGGTACATTCCTGCCGACGTCATTCCATCCAAATAGATTCCTTGGAACGTTTGAAGTCAATCGGAATGCTATTGGAATGCGCTAACCTACCCCATATTCTTCGCCCCGCAAACTATAGTTGGTGATGTAGAAAGCGGTACATTGACTACTAAGTCGTCAGGATTAGGATTGAATTGCCTATTAATGATGCCTATCGATGGTGTTGGATGTTAGCTATCATGAACAGGCCGCCAGTGCTGGAGTATTTACGTAGAATCATGCATGTGCGAATCCGGTAAAGGGCCTACATATTCATAGAGCCATAACGCGGCAAAAAAAAGTCACCAATTTGAGGCCGTGGCAATTGGTAGCGTGTGGTAAGTTCTTCTTGAACATTCTCAGGTTATAAAAACAACACCAACAATTATACAGCGACTCCAGTTCGCAAGGTTATCTGGTCGAGACTGGTCAGCCTCATCTTCCATTTTCTTCTTCTTATTGTATGTTTCTAGCGATCAGGCACAATTGCTGCTCTTTTTAAAGGATTTCTATAGGAATATATATATTTCTTAACCTTTTTTTTGCGGGAAGAGGAGTATATTGTAGAGGAAAGGCCGAAGCGAGACTTCACAACGACGCAAAATAGCGAGAAGATCTTCACCAACTTGGGGCTGTGGCGCAATTGGTAGCGCGTGGTAGGTTCACCATGAACAATTCGATATTCTGAAACATTACTAATGAATTCACTAGCGACTCCAGTTCGCAAGGTTATCTGGTCGAGACGGGTCAGCCTCAACTTCTTTTTTTCCCCCTCGATTCCTTGCCTTCTTGTTTTTCTCCCTCAAAGTGGCTTTGATTCCTATATGCATACTCTGTAGCTTCTGTAAACCCTGCAGGATTTCCCTTAGGCGTGTCTCTAGGATATCGTGGACAATCTTGTGCGGCTTTCTATGTGGTGCCTGAGGTGTCTATAACAAAAGCCCTAACTAACTATATAGTTAGCGCACTCTGTGTCTTGGACACAGTTTTGAATCTCTCGAATCTCTATCCGCCCTTCCCTCTAGTGAACCGAAGAATCTGTCAAGCCGTTTAGTGCAAATTCACAGTAATTGAGTTTTACCGAAGAGCATTTACCGACCTTGGAACCTTAGAATGACCTCGGGAGTGCCTTTTCTTAAGCTCTGCAGACATCCAAGTTATAGAAGATTGCGAGCCGAACGAAACTCAAAACCAAGAGTATACCAGATCCATAGTTTATCATTCTGACAGACAGGCGTTGGAGTCCGCCTAGGTGTAGCAAGACATCTATAGGGATGGATTAGTAGTATAACCATCCATGGATCCATACATCTAACCCTAAACACATGCTGCTCAGATGCGATCGAGCTCGGTATGTACTTATTTATTCGCATGTGCTAGACTAGTAGTTATCTTCAGTTCTTTTCTCATCAAAAAGTGTAAAAATTTGGTCTAGTGATATAGGCGGAATGTCTTCAGGAAAGAAAAAGAAAGAAAGCGAAAAAAAAAGAAGATGAGGCTGACCCGTCTCGACCAGATAACCTTGCGAACTGGAGTCGCTATTGAATTCGTTAGTTTTTGTTTCGGAATACGAAATTGTTTGTAGTGAACTTACCACGCGCTACCAATTGCGCCACAGCCCCAAATTGGTAATAATTTTGCCACTTTGAGGAATTAAGAGTATAACTCATAACTAGCATCATAACTAGCATCCATGCATGGCATAATAAATACTACCTAACCAAGACACCTGGGCAGGCACAGAGCGGAGGTGACTAAGGTACCAGATATTTATAGATTTCCAGATCGAGTTCGTTTTCATTGTTTTATGTTTAGAGATGAATTAGAAAAGAAATAGATTAATCAAACAGTTAAGATTGTTCTCCATTATTATTCTATTATTCTATTATAACCCGATATAGTCGAGTAATTTTGAAATTCCTTAATTTCGTTAATTTCCAAAAGAATCGAGACCGTCGATTTCCAGGGGGCCCGGACTCCACTGCGTATCTGCCACTTTTCCTCCTTTTTATTATCGTCTCTCCTCCTCTCTCTCTTCTCTTTCAACTGTCAATCTTATCCACTCTTTTTTCTTTTCTTTTTCGATTGATTCCATCTCCTGTTTCCTTTTCCCCCAGCCTGGTGCTGTTTTTGCCTTTCTGTAAGGGGATTCTTTCTTTTGACTCCCAACCTCTTCACCCCCACGGATTGTCTCTGAACCCACTTCGGTTTTAGGTACTTTAATCCTATATCTTCCTAATGGCCTTCTTTATATCTCTACATCTCATTGGCACATGGAATCACGTCTGTCGTTCCCATACTAACTAACCGCAGTCACTCCTTCCCGTCCGCCTCGTTCAGGACCCGACAATCAACAACTCTTATATACAAGCGCATCGCTCATCGCCATTCCCTCTTTTCCTTCGACCATTTCATACCAATTCCATTCCACAGCCTAACCCAATCCGCAAATCCAACATGGCCAAATTCCGGCCTAGCAACATCCTAGGCGATCCGTTCGCGCTCATGACCGTCTCGATTTCGATTGTTCGTTCGGCTTTCTCCTACATGACTCGACATTGACTAACATACGATTCTAGCTGGCATGGCTCATTGCTTTCATCTCATCTATCATCGCGGACGTGCAAACCGAATATCCCAACTACTCATGGTGGGCCATCTCTTACATGTTTTGTGTCATTGTGGGCCTAGTCACGACCTTTGGCACTGACACGGGCCACGTTTATGGCGTCGCAGTATGCAGACTTTCCAATGCAGAATATCACAAGCCTCTAGTACTGACAATACCTACAGATCGTCGGTTACCTTGCCTGTGGCCTCGTCCTAACATCCACGAGCGCAAATAACCTGATCTACGGAAAACAAGCCTCCATGCAAGCCGCAGGCGCAGGCTTCATCCTCCTTTCCATGATCATCATCCTCTGGATCTTCTACTTCGGCTCCACCCCTCAGGCCACCCACCGCGGCTTCATCGACTCCTTCGCCCTGAACAAGGAACAGCCGGGCGAGCCCTCCTACCGCGGCAGCCGCCCAATGTCCAGCACATTCGGCGCCCGCCCAGATACCATGGCAACCAACAACACCCCGCAGATGTACACCTCTGCCCAACTAGGCGGCTTCGAGACCTCGTCCCCTGTCTCCGGATACCCTGGTGGCGCGCCCGGCGCCGAACGATCGTCCTCTGCGCCTCGCTTTGGTACGCCCAATCCCCCGACTCCGGGTAACGGCGAGCAAGAAGTGGGCGAAGTGCCTCAGCCAACGGAATACCCTTACCGGGCCAAGGCTATCTACTCATATGACGCCAACCCGGAAGACGCCAATGAAATCAGCTTCGCCAAGCACGAGATCTTGGAAGTATCCGATGTGAGCGGCCGATGGTGGCAGGCTCGGAAGCAAAATGGAGATACTGGCATTGCGCCCTCGAACTATCTGATCCTTCTGTGATCTCTGGTCCGTATGCATGATGTCTCTTCTTTTTGTCCGAGTTTCTTGTCAATTGTCCTGTCGCAAAATCTGTTTCCCTTCCCCTTGATACCCTTTCGGATCCGACCTCGATGTGTGTGTACTTTTTTGGTTCCTTTAACGTGACGTCTTGATGGCCTCCTTCTGCTTTGTGTTGCATGTCCTTTCCCTTCTTGGTACTTTTTTTTGTGATTGGGGTTTTGGTTTTTACTCTAGCGGGTGGTTATCCTGCGTCTTTCCTTTATGCTTCTCCATGGTTGAGGTGCTTTTCTCCATTATCATGTTCGACTAGGGTTGTTGGGGTCTGTTACCTGATGAAAGACTTGTTTTCTACTCCGTACATGAAAGAAAAATAAACATGTGAGATGGTACCTTTATGCTAAGGATAGCGATGTCTTGACTTTAGACTGTGCAATTCGCAATATTGTGCTCTCCTGTGGAGGTACGTGTGCGTCTACGTAATTTGGCGAATCCACCTGGACACCAGCGGGGCCCTCCAAGTTCTAGAACACCCAGTTGTTTTTGAGCACAGATATTTTATGATACAATTGTGATTCATGCAAGCTCAGTTCCAATGGGCGCATATATCTGATTCTGCAGGTGACTTGAATCGCCCTAAGGGGAGACTTCTCGTCTAATAATTTTGGATATTTCTTTGCATCTGTATACATATCACTGACCTCTACATGGTTTCTTGCCATAGCAAGTCAATATCCCTTTGCAGATACAGGCCCGGATTTTCGGGCTCTTTTCTCTTGTTAGTTGGTGCCATCCTTTTTAAAATAAGAAATGCTTGAACTTGAGAGAAAGTAAAAAGCAAGGGAAGTTGGAGAGGAGGGGGAGAAGCGCTTTCACGGACCTTCCTTAATAGGCAACCACCCTTATACCTTCCGCTTTAAGACTATTATATTAAGCTTGAATGTCATATCTATTTGATACGTGAGCGCTCTTTTTTCCTACCCATAGTATCGTTTAGCACACAAATACTGCATCCTCACACTCCTGAATCTGCCTGCACAATATTCTTCGTCCTAACGTATCTATCCCACGAAGCACAATTCTTCTTAAACGGAGTATAATCAACGAGATCCCGAATCTCATCTTGTCGCTCGACAAACTGCAACGCCAGACCCTCGTCGACATGCCATCCAATATGACAGTGCATCAACCACGCACCGGGGTTATTCGTCTTGAAAGCAATAAGCAGCCACCCACTCCCAGCCAACACGGCCGTATCCCGACGCGGAGGATTCTGCGTAATGATTGAACCATCCCATTGCGGTTTCCCAGGCCCAGGCTGTCCTTGCGCCAATATAGAGAAGTCATGGCCGTGGAGGTGGATGGGATGAGTGACGACGGTGTTTTGGATAAAGAGATACACCCATTTATCCTTGAAAGGCAGCTCAATCACGCCGCTTGAATTAGAGAAGCCTGGCTCGTTGCGGTAGACTTGCATCAGGGTTGGGTTCTCCCAGCTCACGTTCATCGAGGTCGAGTTGAACTGCCAGCGGAAAAAGTTCTGTGCGTTCCTGGTATTGCTGACTGTTACATTCTTATCCCAAACTGGTGAAATTGGTGGATCGACGTTTTTGGGGACGTGCGGAACTAGATTCGTCAATGGTTCGTCTTCGCATACGTTTGTGAAGGGGAATGACTGCGTGCGTGGTTGTTTTGGCTTGTTGCCGTAGTAGACGATGCCTCGGATGTTGCCGGCCATTTCGTTTCGTGAACATCTATCGGCTGGTATAGCTCTCATCCAGAAGGATTCGGCTACGGAACTCTGGTTGGCTGTGATGATAACGTCATAGCGTTGACCTGGATGTATAACATTAGCTTGTATGTCTGGAGCGACGGGGATGAGGCCAAGAAACGAACCCATTCCAATGCTGATGACGTTCGTGACAAATGGCCTTATAGGAACAAGATCCATTGCAATGACGGTCATTGTGTGGTTGTCAATAGTGAACTTCCAATGCGTGTCGATAGCAGGGTTCACGAGTCGCAGCCGGTAGGATTTGCCTTTTTCAACTTTCATGTGGAAAGGAGATCCGGTAGTATTTGTACCATTCCCATAGATATTTGTTCCATTAATGAGTCCATTCGATAACTTTCTGACAGGACCGCGTAGTTGAACATCTTGGTGCAGTTGATCCACAGTTTCATGCGTCCAATCACTCAGGAACAATGATCCCTTGTCCACATCGTAATTTGCAGTTGCCGGTCCATTGATAATAATGGCACCATATACGCCTTCCCAGGCTTGCAGCCCAATATGAGAGTGATACCACGAGGATCCATACTGGGTAGCTCGCCATTTATAAGTCATTGTCGAGCCGGGGGCAATAGGACACTGGGTGACCGAGGTAACACCATCATTGGGGTTTGTATAGTTCTGACGAATACCGTGCCAGTGAATGCTCGAACCATTCATTGCCTGGTACAAATGGTTGGTGACATGGACAATCACCCAGTCGCCCCAATCTGCAACAAGAGTCGGGCCAGGGAAAGTGCCATTGATGGTCATAACTGGACGTGGAGTCTTGAATCCGTCGGGAGAAAGTGTGACTTCTTTAACTTCAAACCAGTATTCACGCGTAACACCCGTGTCCGGGACGACATTTTCGTAGTCCGTGTCGATACTGTAATTGCACCAGACAGATCGGTCATTGGGGGTATTTCCTGCGCATGGAGTCCCGGTAGGCCCATAGGTATTGCCAACTCGAGACCTTGTGGCGATTGGTCGCAGCGTTGTCGATGGGTTGTAGGAGTATTGGTCGTAGGCAATGCCAGTACCAAGTAAATTGGCCAAGATGATAATAGATGAAAATCTCATGATGACTCGATATCAAGCTCTTATGGTAAGACTGTTGGTATCTGCCTTCTAGAAGGGTAGTTAGCACTTATTCCACCAAGTCACGGAAGGAATTATATACCTCCCTAAGATATCCAAGCTGACCTTTTACGAACGCCTGTTCTGACCCCCCAAGGCAGTCCACCTCGTACATTGCCTCGTAAATTGCTAGGAGATGCTGGCATACTGTCATCTCGAACAGACAAAAGCAGAAATCATAACCCAAAAGACGATACACCAAGCCACGAGGGAACTAAGACCCTCCGGCTCAGTGTCAGCGTAAGGCGAGACTTCGTGTCTGTCCAAAATAGATTCTCTGAGTAGGCATATCTCAGTGATTGATGCATGGATAGCGAGACAATTTGTTTCATCGACAGTCAACGTGAAGTCAGAAGATTTCCATGGTGTCAAGCCATCTAATCTAAGCCCTTGCTTGGGTGCCGCCCCGACCTGCAGCACCACATCCACGTGGGCCATGCATTATCGTGATCGGATCCTCTTCTTTTCAGGTTCCCAATGCAGGGTCCCTGATCTTGTGTGTCGATAATCCATCGTGGCTGTGACACGATCAGATCGAGTCACATAAGGGCAATTCGGGGCTTTGCCGTGTGGGTATGACGCTCGTGTATCACTCAGAGACAAAGAGGCCAAGTATGATGGCGAGCCAATTGGGGTACAAATTGTAGATGTGAATCAATACGTGAGAGTGTATGGTGTGACAATGCGCCCCATCTGGGCAGTGTCTGTTCAGCTAGGTCAGCTTAGAAGGGATTTTGATTAAGGGGCATGTGAGGACATATAGCATATAGGGTAGGCAGGACAGGATGACAAGAGCGAGGATTCTGAAATATCCAAGCCAGAGGTTCTGTCACACTGATTCCGTATATGGCTCAGCTCGCCAAGCCAGCCCTGAGTTCGTCGCACTGCGCTTTCAGGGAATAATAGAACACTCCTCCAGGGCATAGATATAGAAGACGACTTCAAAAGCGCTTTGATCAAACTCTGGATGCATGGCAGTACATCTATCAAACAAGGAACTTCTTAGCATCATTTTCAAGACATGACTTCGATTATCTTTGCTGTGGTTGTGCTCTTTGCAGTTGGGTCGGCGTATCCAATGGAGAAGCGACAGGCCAACGGACCGTGGAGTTTGTATGCATACGGCAAAGACATCGACGGGCTGCCTGTCTTCTATGCAGATGGTAAGCATCTCCCACCCCCAAATAGATCACCACTAATCATATTTCTCGAACAGGTCAAGCCCATATCGGCGATCTGCCACTGTTAAACGCAACCAACAAGTTCGCAGTTTCTTGTAGCCTTTGAGCTCCGAGTTTTCATGATGGGTGTCTGATTAGCTACAGTGACGTTTGGCGACAACCAAAACACCTGGGTTGCTCACCCCGATACCACGACCACCTCAACCACTACTGAGTCCGATATATTCACCACGGCCGGTGTGGCGTCCGACACCAATCTGCTGGGATTGAGCGATACTGGCTTAATGGCTTGTCCAGTCATATTTATCACCTCGAGGGGCTAGGCAAGTAACAACACAGTTGCCGCAATCACAGCCAGCGTGTCAGCACCACAGACCAATGTGTGGACTTTATATGGAAAATATGTTGTATGCAGCCAGGACGACATCAACTTCTACGCCCAACCGACAGGACAAGATGGGTGGTATATCTTGCTATGGAGTGCAACGGCAGATGCAGCTCTTCGAAATATTCCGGTGACCCTAAGGACCATCGGCCCTGTCTCTGGGTAAGCTCTGCTACTCTCAGGGCGCGTCACATAGGCCGTTTCGTGTAGTGGCTATATGTGAATCTTGTTATCGGGCTCAAGTCAGGTTCTCGACCATTTACGTTCAGCAATTTATGTTGAATATGGACCCGGTCTCATGTTGACCTAACTCTGCCTGGATATTCTACAAATAAAACTACTATGTACAGGCTTAAGGCCCTTATACTAGATTTTAGCTCGTTCTTATAACAGAAAAGAAAATGATTTGGATTCCTAATAATCTTGGATATATTTTTGGGTATCATCTTGTATTCAATGTTTCTACTCCAAATGCCCAACCAAATCCTTGCAGGTTAGTCCAGCATTAGCCTTAAAAAGGCCATAGCTTTTTTTTGGGCCGGGAGATCAGCAACTAACGAGCCCAGGTGACTCCCCAAAGGTGTCACAGTTTCCCCTCCAACTTCTTGACCTTTGACCTCTTTGGCTTTGAAGCTATATTTTATATTGACCTTGGAAAAGTAAAAAAAGTACGAGATTGCTTATCCGGGAGACAGGAAACAACAGAGAACAATCTGTTTTTCTCCCACCTCTCACTCTTCTCAGAAATGAAGACCCAACGATGTCAGAACGGATATCACGTCTGAAGGCGAAGTTACTGGGACGATTATCTCCAAAAGCGGATGCGGATCCGAGTGCCCACTCTAACCAAAAAACCCCCTCGCGCCCTCTCGACTCCAACGGATCCGCCGCTGACAGCATCGCATCTTCAAACCATTTGGACGAGGTCGGTTCTTCTCGCGACCGTCAAGTGGAGGAACCCCTATCCCCAGGGACAAACCAGGAGCTAGATTCTTCCGTGTCTGCGCCTTCGGAACAACCTCATCACACAGGAACTCGCAATTGTACGCCGTCGACCGAGCCATACAATTCTTCGTTGCCGACTCCTATCTCGGTCGATCTTCCGTCTCCTCTTGAAACCCCTCCGTTATCGACTCCTCAGCATTCCGATAGCACCTCCTTCCAATCCACCCACTTGAAAGCTCAAACTCCAATCCTAGCCGGGACTCCATTGACTCCAACTCTGAATACTGTTGTCGAGTGGCCTACGAATGATCGCCGACCTTCTACCTCCTACTTTCCTCCTCCCTCAAGCAAGCGCCCGAGCCTTGCGATCCGTCGTCAATCTCTTCTCCCAGCGACACACCAACACTTGATTAGCGGGCTACTGGAGCCGAGCCTTTTCTCTTCGGGTGACCAGGGCAGTGCTTTCACTCCCCTTGTTCCTCAAGAGATGGTCACACGTCGGGTTTGGGTCAAACGACCCGGTGGCTCGGCCACCTTGGTGCCATGCAGAGACGATGCGGTGGTGGATGAGTTACGCGACCAAGTTATTATGAAATACGGGAACTCCTTAGGGAGAACCTTCGACTCGCCCGATATCGCCATCCGGGTTTCGCCACGAGAGGGTAATCGACCAGGCCACACTGAGCGGCTCTTAAGCCCGGAGGAAGCCCTGTCATCTATACTCGATGCATACTACCCTGGCGGACAAAAAGTCGAGGAAGCATTGGTGATCGATGCGCCCTCACGGCGGACCCCAAAGCCATCGCCGCGCCATTCAATCTACCAGCACCACCATTCGGAACCCGGCGAGCATGGCGATTACTTCCCTCTCATGCCGCCGGTTAATGCGAACGCGGGCACACCCTCTGCACACTCGGGATCTGCATCAGGAGCGGCTACTGCGCCGTCAATTTCAATTCTCAACACTGGCGTTGCTCCTCTACTGCCATCCCCAGGAAGCCGTAGGGCACGGCATCAGCAACGTCCTCCGTTGACAAGACACAAAACAAATTCTCCCACTATTATTCACAACCAAAACTCCCAGACTCCTGGCATAACAGGTACGTTTTCAGACAACTTTGCTTTGCTCCAAATGGCCACTGACATCCATAGAAACCGGCGCTACTCCTCATTCCCAACCTATCCCGCCTCCCTCCGCTCCCGCAGTGCCTACGCCCCCGGTGGCAGCACCGCCGGTAGAATCTCCGCAGGTGAAATCACACACTCCCCCTGCAACTGGGTCACCACGTGTGGCCCGAAAATCAAAAGCAGCCACTTCTCCTGGTGCCATGTTTGGCGGGTTGATTGACGGCACTGTTCCGCCAATAAATGTCCTCATCGTGGAAGACAACATCATCAACCAGAAGCTTTTGGAGGCCTTCATGAAAAGGCTGAAAGTGCGCTGGAAATGTGCAATGAACGGCGAGGAAGCAGTGCGGAAATGGCGACAAGGTGGATTCCATTTGGTCTTGATGGACATCCAGCTGCCTGTGATGAACGGTCTGGAAGCCACCAAGGAGATCCGACGCCTGGAGCGCTTAAATGGCATTGGTGTCTTCCCGAAAACAGCCTCTGGACGCTTCAGCGCGTCCAATACGTCTCCTGCGGACAGAAGACCCGGTCTTCACCGTACGGTCAGTGAAGAGGACACTTTGTCAGATCTCTCACTGTTCCGGAGTCCAGTCATTATCGTCGCGTTGACAGCTAGCAGTCTGCAAAGTGACCGACATGAGGCATTAGCTGCTGGCTGCAACGATTTCCTGACCAAGGTGAGTCCAGCTCCCTATTGCGCCTATTCTTTTTGTCAAAGAGTACGCTAACATTTCTCGAATAGCCTGTCGGATTCCCTTGGCTTGAGCAGAAAGTGACAGAATGGGGCTGTATGCAAGCCCTAATTGACTTTGAAGGCTGGCGCAAATGGCGAGGGTTCTTGGACTCCCCTCGCCCCGCCTCGCCAGCTGTTAGTACATCAGCCAGCCCGATGCAGGGTGGCTACCGCAAAGAACCACCACAGGTGGATCCCCCATCGCCCTCGAGCTCCCGCCCCGCCAACAAGCCCGATCATCACGAACCCAAGCCAAACCTGCCAGATGTCGCGCAAATCGTGCGGGAAGATTCATGGGGTAGCGGCAGTCCTGACAGCATAGATTCGCTCTCGAGTCCACAGTTTCCAACACCGGGTGATATCGCCCCGACCAGTGTGACGGCCGCGCCCCGGGGTGAAAAATGAATACGGACTTGTCTTTGGATTTGGCTTACCATGCCTTGGTTGGTGCCTACGCACTTCTATCGATCTTTTCCCGACCTGTTTGATTCGACTTTCTGTCTCTCTTATTGAATACCCCGTATAACAACGTGTCTTTTCCAATCTCATCCTTTGATCTTCTTGTCCTGGTAGCATGTGCTTCATTTCGAAGTTCTCAGGCCTAGTACACCTCGTGGATCTTATTTTGGTCGTATGGATCTGTTTTGTTACTTTGCTCTGCATACCCACGTCTTTCCTTTCTGTGGCTGGTTTCTTTTGTCCGCCGTCCACTATTTTCACTCCTGCATACGACTTCCGTGCAGTGGACAAGCTCATATACACGACCGAGATGTCACATGCCTATATTCTTCAATGTATAGTTTTCTTTGTTCGTTCCGACTACCGGCTAGGGGGCTTGGTGTATCCTCTTACGTGTACTTATTTCACTAATCCTTTGAACAGTGATGATTCGTGTAGATACATTCCATAGCCATAGTACTCAAAGTATTTGCTTAGTCCTCTTGAGGCCTCTTTTTGAGATTATGCAATTTTTAGCTTCTACCTATCCCTATAATATTCTCCGAAGCACTGGAACAAAGAAAATGCCTTTGATAATCATTGTACACAATGAATGTACATATGTATCTATTCCCTTTCAGATTCTCCCGCATCCAGAGGTAACACAACATCTCTCAAAGCAACAAACTCGTCCAATAGCTGTTAATCAGATACGAAATCGATATGTAGATCTGCACAATGTGATCACACCACCAATCAAGCGAAAGCAACATGACCCGGAGTACGAGGAGCAACCCAGAGAAGCTTTTAGAGGGTAGCACATAATATCAAGTCCGGATTTAGGTACTCAAGTGATCTAGTTCCAGGCTTTGTCTTTCCTTGAGAATTGTTCTGCATGTGATGTTCTTATTGTCTTCTATTCCTTAAATACCTCAAGCTGGCCCCCGGACCTCTACCCATACATTCTACAAACCTTACACCCTACACCTTACAAACATCCCACATACAAAATCTATCGTCTATCATTAGCTCTCAAGCCGTATACAATTTACCAAAAGACCTACTCTCACAAACTACAAATCATATACCCCGCATTTCACCATCCCAACCCCTCACTCAGCTCGACCATGCAGTCATCAAAGACACCATCAGCTCCAGCCTCCCCTACTACTACTTCATGGCTCAAAAGTGCCATCGCCTCAATTGGGTCGATTTTCAAACCTTCCGCCAAGGAAGACGAGTCTGAATCCGACGCTATCTCCGGATGGGTTGGGGCGAGAAGGCGACGCTGTCGATCGGTCGGGGAGGCTCGTTGAGAGTTGACTATCTGCCTGTTTGGTTGCTCCCTAAGAATGGGAAGAATCGAAAGGGATAGAAATGGAAGGAGGCTGAATGGAATGGCGGTACTGCTGGGCCTATATCTCTTGCTCTTGCTTTTGGCGAGGCGCTGTGCATTGTGATTTTGATATCTCGGGGTTCTTGTATTTTCGGGGTTCTTTTGTTGCTAAGGGCTTGCAGGACCAGCCGGGAAATGAATGATAATGATATATGATGCCAATGGAGTATTGATTTAGGAATACGAATATGGGATTGATATGACCACGGAAGCTATGAATGAATTAAAGAGCGAAGACCCTACTCCTCCGCGTCAGCCACAGGGGAACCTAAGAACCCGACTTCGTGCACTCGTCCAATCTACAATGTCAGTTGCTGGCCTATTTAACTTAGTCAAAAATAGACTCGATGCTTACTTTTGTTGTGCAGATTGGTCTTGCTTGTCGAGTTCACCCAGGTACATTACCGTAGTTTGTGCTTCTTGATTGACTCTGAGCGCGAGCAAACTACCTGCAATCGTCATACGAATATTTTACAAGCCTTCCTATATATCTCTTTGATGCTTTATTTGATGACACAAAGCATTTTTTCTTCGTACCACTCGGCGCTCCGATGTCAATATATCGAAGTTATGTGCAGTTGGGCAGGCGGTTTAGGAGGTGGTTTTACCGAATCAGGTCTGGCTTCGGATATTATACTCATATTTCTCCGATAAATTTTGGAGATTCTTCGAATGATATTGTTAATGGAGGATTTTGTGGCCTAAGGCGGCTTGCTCAGCCTCAGAAGCTGTATTTTACATGACGCTCCGGAAACCATGATCGAGGTACTTTACTTAGAACTCCTATGCGAGTGCTACCACCATACTGTACCACTCACATAAGCCCACCGGTCTTCTCGTGGCAAACCCCCGCTCCAACTGCCACTAGAGTATAGGGTGCTACTAGTGTTGTGGTTGTGTGTTGTATTTTTCTTTCATTTTGATTATTTATAGTCTCCCACATAATGCTAGTGTCACAACAATCTCATTCTCATATATAGTTATCCTTGAGACGGGCTGCGATAGGTTGAAATAAGGACAAGAAAACTGAGAGATATCCCCATAACCCTACCACATTACAAATTGTCGGCGACAGAGTTACTGACACAGGTCCGCCGTCAGGGTGACGGGTTGGGGGCACCCATAGACCTTCTTATGAGCTAGGGTACTGTAGCAGGCGGCATCATTGGCCGCACAGTCAAAGGCCTCACAGCCGTCCCCGGGACTGAGCGAGTTAGGATTCGCTGCGAAGGGGTTGCCCCATTCCGTGCTCAGTTCATCTTGAAGAAGGATGCGGTTAACAAAAGATTCCTAGCTGACAGATAGATTGGGTGCACTCACAGTACGCGTAGTCCGGGTTGGACGAGAACGAATAGCCAAAGAAGAGAGGCTTATCCAGTGTCTTTGTCTTGGCGATCTTGACGGTCTGCACATTCCATCTCCGGTCAGTTTCCCTTGCTATATGGAGTATTTCGCAGGCCGAATAGGACGGAGTAACGTACCGAGCCAGATGCTCTAAATTTCTCGGAGAAAGTTCCCCCCTTAGGAACGGTGGTGAGAGGGCCGGGGGCGCTGCCATCGTAAGGGAACGACTGCACATACACGGAGGTGGCACAGTGGTTGTGCACGACAGCATTCTGGGCCGAGACCAGCCCGAGGAGGGCAGCAAATGGGATCAGGGAGGTCTTCATGGTAGGTATTTCGCTTTTTGTTTTGCAATAGAAGCTTGGATTATCTGTTTCCCTCCCGACGAGGGAAGGAATTGGCGGTCTTCATATAGGTCTGCTGCTCGGACCACAGGTAGCAGCGATGATGTACCGATGGAGTACATCCGGGAAGCCTTTGACCTAAGACATGGCACCCATTGCATGTTATGGATTGTCAAGCCACCGCCCTGGAGTCCGTCCCACGGCCAATCGACACGAGTGGCAGGTGAGACATGCGCATCACCGCCACTACATGTACTCCGCATCAAAGACATTGCGCCGGATAGCGTTACATTCCACCCCGTGACCCCGCCAATTTCTCAAAACTGGCTGGAGTTTTTGTTGATGATTCTCCATGTGGAGCAAAGAATGATTTCATCGGTGTGGAGAACCTGCCAGAATCAAGGAATTCGTCGGTTTAGGATTGAAGATTCAACCGGTTTCTCCGCTCCCGACTCGGGTCGCGGTATTGTCCAAGTCATCTATGCGTACCCCGCTTGAACACGATGCCCTTGGTCGACTGGTCCATACCAAGAATCCCATGTCAGTCATACGGTCACCCTACCTGGTTCAAGTTCGTATAGTACCCACCTTGATAAACGTGTCGGGGACCGACCGGGGATTTCTGCAGGTGAGAAGGCGGATTCAAACAAGCGACTGTCTTCTACTGTAAGGAGGCAAACAATGCAGCCATGGAACCAGTGCCACGCCAATGCACCATTCTAGTATAGGGCGTGAAGAAAGAGATGCTGTTCTGCTGACTATAAATTGGCATCTATGCTACTATATCGAGTTGGAACGCGGTTGAAAAGTTGGAAGAGCGGTATGGCTTTTTCATGTGAGGCGTGTTTTGATGGAGGGAAGACAGCCGATTACACCGGAAGCCATTGGAGTGGCAGGCTGGAACGTTAGCTGCGAGAATGTTAGTCGGCCAACGTATATTAGTGATGAATTCTCATTCCAAAATAGGCTCAACAAATTCGTCTATAATAAGGCTGAAACCAGGCACCCAAAACGCAGCCTGGTGATAAAATTCCCTTGCTGTCTAGGCGATGTGGGCCACGTCGTCAGCTTCTGTTTCGATCTCCGCATCTATCGCAGAGCTATCCGCATCAAAGTCACTAGGGCTAGAGCTGGAATCTTTGCTCGAGAAAGCGCTCCGTTTAATCACTACTACGTTCTTGGGCGATTTTCCCGATCTTGGCTCCTTTGATTGCTTCTGGTGGCGATCGTGATATTCCCCATCATCATCGGAGCTGCAGATCCAGGAGCTCAGGTGCATAATCTGCCTACCATGGCTCGCCTCATTTCTGAACCTACCGACCTCTCGACATCAATCCCCTTCACGATTGGATGGTACACCATAGTCACGGGCCGAGCTGTCGTACTATACTCGCGCCTACACCTGACTGCTCTCGATATGAGGAAGCTGCATGGGCCCTCTGGATGATAATCATCAACGTTTGCATCCTCCATCTTCCTATACTGTCTTGTTCTTTGGCCTTATTAACAGCCGCGACGGAAGGCCCACTCGCCCCGTCGCTACGTGTGATCAGAACCAATGGACGAGCTCCAACTTCCAAGACTGGGTCAGTGACGTTTATTTGGTCTTAGGGCTCAAGGAGCTGGCATTTGAAAAATCCGAAGCGGTCTTGAGAGATATGGGAAAGCCAAGAAATATAGCTGAACAGCTTGCGCTCACTGATTGTCTCTCGTTAGCATTTTCGAGAGTGCTTCTTAACGATAAACTCCCTGAATGGCTTGGCCTTACCGTCGGTCGCGGGCTTTTTCCGACATAAAAGACTTCCAGCTTTCTCGTTTAACTACTTCCAATAAGAGGTCTTGTTTTGTGTCCTTTGTCACAACCCGGTTATTCAGAGTAACCTCCACTCGATCTGGTAATGAATACAGCCCGAAGATCGTGTATACGCTGCCCTTTCATCTTCCCGCTCATCTACTGGAAGCAAGCCCAGGTGGTCGGCCGATTGTTGATGCTCGGAGTATGAACGTTGATCAGTTCCGTCCTCAGGTGAAGGTGAAGTGCAGTTTAATGATGGTATGCAATCTCGGTCTCAAATGCCGGGGTGGGGGCATACGAGGGAATCCGTTCCCACAGATCAGGCAGTTCAGGCCGGTAGGTAATATCATCGTTGAAAGGAGTGTAAGTCATCCCACTAAGACAGAAAATGGTACTGACAAGCCTAGGCTAGCAACATCATTGTGTTAGCTCACATCAGGTAGGTGTCAGGAAGCGCCAACTAGGACGAAGCTGTGGCTGACAGGCCGAGGATATTGATGAACAGGGTCACCAGTATTATTTGCACATAAGCAAGGTATCGGGAATGACTGTTTGTGCTGTCTGGCAACGAATAAACCCCAGGATCGTCACTTGCAAGCGGGAATGGCAGAGGGATGCGACACCTGGCTAGATTCTCAAGGCCTACTCTAGCTCTTCATGTTTCACTTCTTTGTACTTCAGAGGAAAGTTCCAGCTACCATGGCTTGTCCATACGGTAACAGGACACCGTCATGTAATTAATGAAATAGACTACTGTATAGGTGGTTATACAGGAACATTGCTTTTCCAGAGTCATTCTACATGTAGTATGGTGTGCCTTGGCATCAGGGTTGGAGAATCAATCGAAGAGTGTAGGTGGTCGCACCAGTTTCGGGACGTACTGTAGCACAATTCCGCTGCCGAGTGTGCATCTCAGTACTATGATGGAATAAAACATTGGACAGTTATGTTGGTCAGAACCGAAAGGATTAGAGGAGCAGTCGCGTGACGTTGTCTTCCACTGAGGTAGTCCTAGAGCAGTGAAGGCATTCAGCTTAAACTAAAGTGGCGTAAAGGAAACAATGCAATCAATTAGCTCTCTAGGAAGACTCCGAAGCAGACTTGAGCTGCCTTTTAGCTTCATCTTGAGTATGGATATGTTAGAACGGGAAGGGCGACAACTAGCGAGCTGTATAGGGTCTTTAGGGACATAGTAATAAGCATTTACCCTCTGATATCTGCTGAGCCTGCATTGTTCCCCGTACATCAGAGAACTGACGGAGAGCGATGAATTGAGGGAGAGTGGTGAAGTGGAACTTGTACACGATGAGCATCGGTTTTCAGATACAGGAGTCTGTAAAGTGAGGCTAAGCTTCGCCATATCTGCACATTTTTAACCGCAAGTCAGTCTTGTTTCAATACCAATCCTTGCCCGGAACCTGTTGAACATCTGCGTAGACAGATACATAGACAAGGGCTAGTGCATAAAAGAATAAACAATCTGCAACGAGATATCAAGCTCACTAAGCACCTTGCCAAAACCCTGCTAAGATATCACTATTCAGACCGTTCTATTTCATGCCGTTCAAAGACCAATTGAGTGTACATACATTCCTAAAGAAATTGTCTCCTATAAAGATGACAAATTCCTTCTCACCCGGCAAAACTATTGTTCTTCTGTTATATGATCCACAACCAGTTTGAGTTCTTTCTTCTAATGATATAAATATACTCTGGCATACAGTGGAGCTTCTAAGAAAGTTTTATCCTTTGCTTCTTTCAACCGCGAGCTTAATCTGTCTTGCTATAGTTGTTGCCGGATGTATATCATCGTGCTCTCAAAGGTAAGTTACCCAGCCGCTTTTTTAACGGCTGACTTATTTCAGAGAGTTAGGTGAACTTAACCAATTTTCCGGAGCTTAGTAAACTCCATCTACGCCGGCCACTTAGTGTCGCTGGTATGGATACATCTAGCGTCATGAATGAATCCTCCAACGCGGTTAACTGTGCGACTAAAATTACTGCGAGTGACATAGCACAAGCCTCCACTGCGGCACAGAGTACAGCCGATCAGGTCGGCGACCACCTTCAAACACTATTCGAAGATCTTAAATTGCATCTTCCCGCATATTATATCGTTGGACTATATGGCTATTGTCAGGGAGATAACAGTACGGGGCCTTTTACAAATTGCTCTAAGCCAAGTACTTCATTTTCATTTGACCTGTTGGGGATCTTCGGCTCGCAATCCGAGGAGATCAACGATATTCTACCAAAAGACGATAATAAAGTCCTCGCCGGCTATCATGATGTTTCAGGATGGACAATCTCAGCCTATATCCTAGGATTTACTTTCACTGTAGCTGCGATTATTATCCAAGTTCCCTTACTAATGTTTTCTAAAGGGAAAAATTTTCTCGTCGCCTCTTCTATAATTGAAGCGCTAACGTAATGATAGCCTTGAGCGACCCGGGCACAAAAATGCGATGATCCGCTTGCGATATAGAGGATATCATTCGGAGAAAGTCCTTTGTAGTAAAGCTATGGTCTGGATCCTCGACTTTCTCAATCGTTCCTTCATTTTCTGAAAATGTTCTCTTTATCCACTCTTTCGCAATTAGTTTGGCTTCTACTGCGGAACACAGAAAGTAAAATCCAAACAAGGGCTCACACTAGATATCTCTTTCCGGTCTTCCAACACAATCTTAATTTGCAGTTTCTCTTTAAATCCGCCAAACAGCCTTTCTGCGCAGTCGAAAACCGATGTCATCACTAGCCGTCTAGTTTTACTTTTTTTTCCACTCGCTAAATGACTATACCACCGAAGAAATTCTTTGATGAGTGTATGGTCTGGGATCGCATAGCCTGGCCCCGGTTTATAGCCCTCGATTCTATGCTATTCAACGGATCTACACCCGTTAGTAACTCACTGTCCCGGTATTTTTCGAGTACAAGTGCATGTCAACTCACCTCATCCAAAGATTAACCGCTTGGTAGTACATCCTCTTGGCCTTAGGTACCCTTTTATCTTTCTCTCGGATAGAATCCTCATCTGCATGAGCGCCAAAAACATAGCCGCTCTTTGCAGTTGATTTTAGCGCTTTTCTTTAGCGATCTCATCTTGTTGAGCAAAGAACTGTTTGCTACTCATTGCTAGTTTAATTTCCCACGCAATGCAAAAGAAAAAGGCTGAGAATCTGAAAGGATGAGGTAGAAAATGAGAAAGCTATTTTGGAGGATTGAAATAGGGAAATAATTCCAATTTATAATTCAATAATTTGATATGACCCAGGACTGTTCTCCGGCACCTCCCCGTCACAGATGTCTCTGTGCCTTCCAGTTTTGCGTCATCATGCTTGAGTGCGCTATTTTGAGAGAGAACGAAACTGGAAGATCATATACCTCCAGAAATAGGAGGAGCATGGCGAATTGAGGGCCATCGAAAAGTAGTCGCAGAGTAAATAGTATTGTGGATTAGCCTCGTGCCTTACTTAAGTGTTAGCTATCTTTGACTTCCTAATATATAGGGGCCATCTAAAACTCATATTTAGATATATACACACTTCAAATATCTTCCATAATCTTGAAACTCGCACATAACTTATAGGCCATGGAGGTCATCGGGGTCGTGGCATGTCGACGAGGGTTTGACGTTGCAGCTTCTCGAGCGGCAAGATGAGATTCAGGATCTCGTTGGTTATACTCCGTTTAAGAAGAATTGTGCTACGTGTGATAGATTAGGACGAAGAATATTATGTAGAAAGAGTCGGGAGTATGAGAATGTAGTATATGTGTGCTAAATGATACTAAAGATAGGAAATAGAGAAGGTTGATGTATCAAATGGATATATATTTAGATCAAGATAGTGGTAAGGCCTTATTTTTATCTGATTATTCTAGGCATTCAGCTTAGTTCAAACTTAGTCTCGATCCATTTAAGCTTAATATAATAGTCTTAAAGCGCAAGTTATCTATGGATAAGGGTGGTTTCCTATTAAGAAGTATACCCGTGGATGTGATACTATAAAGCACTTCTCCCCCTCCTCTGACTTCCCTTCCTTTTTATTTTCTGTCCAAGTACCATCAATTTTTAATTTTTTTGGCCCCCCAGCCTCCTCCCGAACCTTCAATGGCTGCGCCGCCATTCGAGGATTGTCAAAGAAAAAGCACGCAGCAAAAGCAGCAGACCTGATTGTGCAACCTCAAGACATCGAAGTGATTCTGAAAGATGCGCAACAGAGGTAGAAAAGTAGTGTGATCATGCTGGCCGGCGTGCGAATCGGAAAAGGGAGCCCAGTTGGAGCTGGCTCAGTGGTGACCAAGGCCAGCAGATTGAGATTTAATATCTCTAATTCCATGTTGAGAGAAGCCCGACTGACTTCCGCAGGACGGTCCTCCCTTCCACTTTGTCGCAGGCGATCCCCGAGTCATTCGTCGGATTGAAACGAGCATGAACCCTGAAGAGCAAAAGTGATGGTGTGATGAGTGTGGGAACTATTGAATATTTCCGCTGACCCGAGCTATTTTAATAGACTTTTCTAATAGAGTTCACTCTTGACCGAATGAACTTTGGTCTTCCTACTGGGGCTCGACATAAGATACATGAGCAGGGTAGTACACGGGATAAATATGGCTATTGAAGGAGGGGGTTTCAGTTATAAGATTCAATCCCCGAGCTGAACAGTTATAAGACTGCGAAATCACCCGCTACTGACGTGAGTTATTAGAAATTGCGCCGCTGCTCCCCTTCCTAGCAAGAATCCTCACACGAGAGTATGGGCATTTCACCGAAATGGAACAAGTGAAAAAATGCCATGAGCTTATAAACCACGAAGTTGATAATAGCAATGCTGGCTCCCAGCCTGAAGCAACAGGCCGCTTCTCAGTATCCGATGATGATATTCTGCGTGCCCAGGGCCATGAAGCAGTATTCGAACGATCATTCTCTATCGTTGCATCCCTCGGTTTTGCATTCAAGTATGTCGCACACCTATTATATTTCGCACTTATTATGCTGAACTACCTAGTATCACGAATGCTTGGGTCGGCGCGCTAGGCAACTTCGGGCAGAATCTCAGATACGGAGGATCCCAAGTGGCTCTGTTTTCTGTTATCGTTGCTTGCTTTGTGCAGTGGATTATTACCTTAGGACTGGCTGAGCTGGCCTCGGCGTTTCCTTCATCTGGAGTAAGTTATGTACAGCGTGCTTGTTCACTCGGACGTGTAAGCTGAATTGCAGGTGCCATCTTATAGGGCCAATACCACTTTGTCTACATAATCGCGCCCCAGAAGCACAAGAGATTTGCTGCCTTTCTGACAGGTTGGATGTCTATACTCGGATGGTGGATGATAACATGCTCCGACCTGTCTCTCGTCCCCAATGCAGCACTGGGTCTCGGTCAATTTCTACATCCAGACTTCGAAATCAAACAGTGGCATGAATACTGTGTATATCTTGCTACCATTGCTGCAACAAGTCAGACACCGTCATTGTCAAGTTGCTTTATATTGAATTACTAACTCGGGTTATCCTGTATAGTGATGCCCCTTCTCCTGTGCCCCAAGAAACTACCACTCATCACATCATGGTCTCTATACCTCGCATTGTCTGGATTCGCCATTTGGTTTGTAACCGTTCTTGTCATGCGTCAACATACAAATACCAGGTCGTATATCATCAGATCTGGTCAGGGCACAAGTGGATGGAACAATGGCATCGCCTGGCTTCTCGGGACGATCAACTCGATGTATTGCTTCAGTGCCAGCGATGGAGCAATCCATATCGCCGAAGAAATGCGATCACCGGGTCGTCGACTCCCACAGATCATGTCAGCCGAGACCTGTCTCATTCTCCATCTCTAATGCCCAATTGGTTACTAGGCCCGCTAACCAAGCACAGGAACATAACCCTAGCCATTGGCCTCTGCACAGCGGTGCCGCTATTAGCAGTCTTGATAGTCGCCATGAAAGATATGGACCAAGTAAGGAACGCCGGAATGCCAGCCGTGGAACTATTGTACCAGGCGACAGGATCAACGAGGGTGACTGTGGCACTTAGCGTACTCTTGACAATCATATACGCAGCATGCATTTCTCCGCAGTGGGTCACATGTGGGCGTCTTGCATGGGCCTTCGCCAGAGACCGAGGTACTCCGTTTCCCGATTTCTTCGACAACATAGACAAGCAGCTCCAATTCCCGCTTCGCACGACTATAGCCTCCGCGATCTTTGCTGCTATCTATGGTCTCATATACCTTGCCAGCACCACGGCTTTCAACTCCATCATTACTTCTGCCGTTGCGCTATTGAACTTGAGTTACGCCATTCCTCAGGCTATCCTCGTCACGCGAGGCCGTGCGCAGTGTCTGCCAAAGCGGTCGCTGGATCTTGGTCGATGGGGATATATCTGCAATGTTTTTGCGCCGCTGTGGATTACAGTCATGGGTGTTATGATCTGTTTCCCGCCTAATCTTCCGGTTACCGTGGGCTCAATGAACTATAGTGCACCCGTTTTGGTGGGATTGTTTCTTATCATTCTTGTTTTCTGGTTTTTGATAGGTGACGAGTTCAAGGGGCCCAATATTGACTGGGAGATGCTGAACCCTAAGAATGAAGCGCCGAGCGACGCTTCGACACAGATATAGTTGAGCCGAACATAAACCTGTGATCTGGGCAACCTCACTGGATTTGTGAGGCTTGGGGAGGATGGTTCTAGGATCATTTCGGATCAGCTACAAGCTTCTATCAGCTTTGGAAGGAGGAATAACCAAACCGTGCTTGTCTCCGTGTAGGTTATACAAGAGCAAGCAAATGCTAGTTGAAAAGATGGAAGAATTCGTATTTGATATATCATACGGCCAGGTGTCATTAAATCAGAACCTAGAGTAGATAAAACAAATACTATACATTGATTCGGGGAAGAAGCATCTAAGATCCTCAACCACAGATTGTAATAAAATATGCCCTCAGATTGAAAACTACCATGTTTTGTCACTCGTCACCGGCGTGCTTGTCGTTTCCTTGAAGGCGTACAGACGAAGCAGATATACAGGGCCTCGGAGTACGTAACTGTATTTTCTCATCACCGGGATATTTATTACATGAGGATGGGAATGTGCATCTCATGATGAAAACAGTACTCGGAGTGGAACAGGCGATTGGTGAAGCAATCGGAAGAAGGAGATGTGAGATTTTGAAGATCTAGAATATGTATAGCAATTCTGAGGGATGTTAGTGGATCGCATCCAAATATTGATGAGATGCCAAGACAACACATAGCAAGAAATACCAAAGGTCCGGGTCTCTTCAGATCTCTGTTCATTGCTCAATCACACACTTGTGGGCCGATGTCTTCTTCCACTCCGAGCTATCAGGGGGATGAAGTCCACGGCCCGACGGTTCATTCAACCGACATGTCATGAGAAGCTCTTGTGAGGTTTATCGTCATCAGGACTTGGCACAAGATATCCCATTGGGTCTGCGTTGTAGCCGGACCAGGGACCGAGTTTGAAAAGAACATACCTCTTGTGATGTGTAGCGTGGCAATAAGCCCCCAAGAAACGCGTCGACATTGCATCGTCTCAAGCGATAAGAGGCAGTTTCTGTCATTGACTCGCAAAATATCAAAATATTATCAGATTCAACATCAAGCTGTGCCTAGACGCGACTTTCTCCGACAGGCTCTGCAGTGTGATATCGAGACTGATAGCTGCATCGGTCTGTCAAGTACGACGTTCTATCGGTTGAGATGATGCAAGAGCATACATGTCACTGCTAAGGGTAATTGACTTGGATGGTTTGGAAATCACAATTGTAGGGTTTCTGGGGATCGAATGCGTGTTGTTAGGACACTCGGGTTAGCACGGTGGTGCCGCGGAGCGTACTGAGCGGGTTTACCGCCTATCATACCGCCTTACTTAGTCCCCGCACAATTACCTAGGTAGGACCGCAGCACGTGATAGCCAGCGTGGTTCCACTGATGAACGCATTGGCTTGCATATACATGCCGGATAAGAAGCTCATGCCTGCACCGGTCGGCTATTTGTGACGGTCAGTACACCCCACATCCATAATGGCTCCTCCAGCATCCAAATGGTGGCAAGAGCCCAACGATGCCGATCTCGACTACGGATTCGATTCTGATGAACTGGATACTAGATATAACGAACCTGCTCAAAACACCTCCCACGAAAATAAAAGCAAACCGAGAGATACCCAGAATACGGACGATACAGGTGTGATTGCGAGCATGTCTTCTTGGCTCCAGCGCCAGGCTGGCTCGTCCCACGGACAGCTTGCGACAGCGGCTGTCGTATCTGGCGCAGCTGTCGCAGGTGCTATCTTTGGGTACCAGTCATACAAGCGCAAGGAAGCTGTTCATGACCTGAAGGCTTCAATCCCAAGCATAGATGATTTACATACTGCGGAAAAGGTGAGCTGCACCAGTGATGCTGCGCATTCAGTGCCCAGCAAGCTACAGGACAAAAATGCTGATTCGCCGGGCCACAGCTCACCGATTTTGGTGCTGCCTCGAATGGAGTACAGCTGAGCAAAGAAGATGAGCGCAGTGCAGCTTTGGCTCGCAGAGCGCAACAGGGAGACTACGATGACGGTATGCGACCTTTCTATGACTTCGTTCTGCAAATCTTTCTCATTCGGCCTGTCTCGCTTTGGTAGACTTGATTCTTGAACAGCTCGCCCGCAACCGTGTGTTCCTCGGCGATGAAGGACTTGCCAAGCTTCGATCGTCATTCGTTGTCGTTGTCGGCTGTGGTGGTGTCGGTTCGCATGCTGCTGCCTCACTGGCTAGATCAGGCGTGTCCAAAATCCGGCTCATCGATTTCGATCAAGTCACACTATCATCGTTAAATCGACACGCCCTTGCGACGTTGGCTGATGTTGGCACACCGAAGGTCCATTGCATTCGGAGGCGATTGGAACAAATCGCACCATGGGTCACCTTCGATTGCCGGAATGAGCTCTATGGAAAGGCCGCGTCCGATGATCTCCTCGGCCGCTGGTCTCTGACACACGATGGAGAGGGCCGTCGGCCAGATTTTGTGTTGGATTGTATCGATAACATTACGTCCAAGGTAGAGTTGCTACACTACTGCCACTCGAACTCCTTGCCCGTGATTTCGTCGATGGGTGCAGGATGCAAGTCGGACCCGACTCGAGTTGTGGTCGGCGACATCTCGCTCAGCACCGATGATCCTTTGTCCCGCAGTACACGCCGTAGGCTCAAGCTTCTTGGTGTTTCGTCTGGCATTGCAGCGGTGTTCTCGACAGAGAAACCGGGCCCGGGCAAGGCTACCCTACTTCCCCTCCCCGAGGAGGAATTCACCAAGGGTCAAGTTGGTGAGCTTGGAGTTCTTCCTGACTTCCGAGCCCGCATCCTCCCAGTACTGGGTACCATGCCTGCAGTGTTTGGTTACACTGTAGCCAACCACGTTATCTGCACTATTACTGGCTACCCGCTTGACTACAACATGGGTGCCAAGGGCCGCGAGAAACTCTATGATACCATCTTGGCTGCTTTGCTAAGCTTGCATGAAAGAATGATTAGACAAGTCACCGGTCAAGATACCGTGGGCCTTCGCGCCCCACTCAGCAAGGATGATATTGCATTCGTTGTGGAGGAAGTATACCGGGGAAAGAGTGCAATCAGTGGCTTGTCTAACAGACTGGCTCTCATTCCCTGGCAAACTCCTGCTCACGGATGGAATATGGATCTGACCCTTGAGAAAGAGGGACAAAAGACCATCCCGATGGACATCAATGAAATGGTTTGCATGACTAAGGAGGAAGCGCTCCGACACGAGAATGAGGTGCTCAAGGGTGGCAAGAAGGTGGAAGAGGTATATGATAAGACTGTTCTCCAGCGTGTAAACCTGCGCAGACGGGAAGCAGAGGAATATGATCAGTACCGAGGATAGTGTAAAACAACGTACAGATAAACAAAAGCACAAAAAGTTCAAATTTGACAAAGAATGTAAAGAAGTCGAGCATTTACCACCCCGGGACCTAGCAGAAGAAAGAAGGCCTTGAAATGTATACGTCAGAGCCGCAAGGGTTAAATTCTGCCTTTCCTTCACATTCCCCTACTCCACCCCACACATGAAGCATACCTTTACACCTGGAAATAAGAATATAAAGCCAATTTGGGCGCAAGAGGATGGCGTCTCGTGACTCCCATCCGCGGGACTTCGAGACCAACAGTGCAGATAAAGATTTCCACCCGACCACAACCCACCATCCCTCGTACTCAAATCAACCACAGTACTCTCGCCCACTGATTGGTTCTGCCAGAAACGGATGGCAACCCGGAGCCCATGAAGGCTCCCGGCGAGGCTCCAGCTCCCCTGCGGATGACATCAAATCCCCCGGGTGGTCCCAAATGGCTCTTTCGGTAAATTCTGCGCCGCGCTTGCGGCGTTTAGTGCTGATCTACGCCACGCTGTTTATATTTGCATGGATCGGTTGGAGAATGCTGCTTTCTCCGCGACTACAAGAGCAAAAGTCACTGCTGCATTCACTTGATCCGACGTCTAGGACAGACACAAGTGGGCGAATCGGGGCAAATTCGTCCCCTCAGTTCGATGGCTTGGTTCAGATCCGCACATTGCACCCAGACCTGGTGCCTGGCGATATAGCGGGAGTGAAGGCAGGAAAATCTAGTCGGAAGCGGCTAATTATTGTGGGCGATGTGCATGGCTGTAAAGAGGAGTGTAAGAAGTACCCCCTCAACTACGGGAATTCTTAGAATTGATGAGGCTACAACAGTGGTGCAACTTCTTGAAAAAGTCTCCTTCAATCAAAAAGGTGGCGATCACCTTATCCTTGTCGGTGATCTGATCAATAAAGGACCAGACAGTACAGGAGTCGTGAACTTAGCTCGGCAGCATGCGGCATCTAGTGTCCGCGGGAACCACGAAGACCGGATTCTGCTTCTTCGACAAGAGATGGTGAAGACAAAAACTCTCACAACACATGATGGCGATGAAGACTCTGGTTTCTCATCCAGAGAACTTGGCGAGCGTGCAGTTGCGCGGTCTTTGAGCGACGGGCAAGCTCAGTGGCTGGAGAACTGTCCCGTGATTCTGGATGTCGGCCAAGTTCCAGGTATGGGTCAGGTTGTTGTTGTTCATGCGGGACTAGTACCGGGCATCGAGCTTGAGAAGCAAGACCCTTCCAGCGTGATGACTATGCGGACCATCGATTCAGATACGCATGTACCCAGTCCGAAAAAGAAGGGCATGAATTGGGCTAAAGTATGGCTTCTCTTTCTATTCCACTCCTTTAATCTTGCCACCGTACTGATTGATACACTTTCAATCTAGATGTTTGATAAACATCAATCAAAACTATACTCGAGTCTCGAGACTTCAACTGAAGATCCCCTCCCGAACACTATGACTGTTGTCTATGGTCACGATGCTTCTACGTCCCTTTCTATCCGCACATTCACAAAGGGTCTTGACTCGGGTTGTGTGAAGGGAGGAAAGCTCACAGCTTTGGTTATAGAGGATGGCGGAAAGCAAAGTATTGTACAGGTATCGTGTCGTGACTATCTAAAGGAATGACAGTTTTCCATGGTTGCTTTGGGTCGAGCTTTATAGACAGATGTATTCTTATGGGTGCTCATCATGGATTTTATGCTATACAATGACGTGTGGTGATGGGACAGTCACCATTGTGGTGGTGCGGAATTCAATAAATTCCGGTAATTGCTATTTTAGAGCTTGCTTAGTTGCATTGTTATGATCGGGAAAATATCGAATAAAAAATGAGAACATCGCCCGTAGGCGGTCCGGCAACTTAAGATCAAACGGCACTCGAGCTGAGGATGGACAGGGAGCCAAAGTGGCAGCGCGCCAATTGCCGCCGACGACAGACCGCTGGGCCAAATGCCCGTCCATCCATGCATACATAATGGGCAGTGCCATTGAAATATGGACTTAGCCTTCTATCTTCATCTGTACTCACCGGTGCCATTGAGTTTTACTAGTCTCTTTTCAGTGGAGAGGACTCGCGTTAACTAGTCTTGTTCAGCTATCTAGTATCAGCGCCTCACAACGGACTTTTTCCCCTAGTCTTTTGAGCTAAGTACGGGGTGCACTTTCTCTGGCGCTTGCTTCCTCTATTTTTCCTACCGAATCAGTCTAACCTCGAGTATGAAGACTGATTTCTCCATATTTTGAAGGCACCGAAGAAAGTTTGCCCGAAGACCTCAGGACACCAAATTCCTATTTATTCGCTGTTTATCATTTTTTACCTTCAAAATGCTCTATGAGATGCCCATATCCAGATGCCCAAATACCTGGCCCTCTCTCAATACTTTCAATTATAACAAGATGGGGATCGACCAGCTACCAGCTGATCCAGTGAGTCCAGTGCTTGGTATTCTCCGATTCAGTTTTCACCTTGGGGTCGACGTCTCAAAGCCATGCCGGGCATCAATACTATGGCGAAAGTCTTTGATGTATGTCTCGACAATCCCTGGTTTTCAGACGCTATACTGGGCCCCCGTGGACCACCCTTAGCCATCTCAACAAATTATCACTTTGGTCCAGTGGGGTAGCAGTCATGGCTGGAGATTATTCCAACACTCCTTGAGCTTCAGAATGATGTCAGGTTACATTGAAAGCACCTTCAATCGCTGCATCCAGCTTGCTCTTCCCGCCAATCTCTAGCTTTGAGGCTGTTCTCGAGCTAGTTTCCTTCCAATTCCCTGCTACCACCCAGGTTGACATGAAATCAAGCTTCAAATCCAAATGGCAAGCATTCCTTGATCTATACCACAACAATCCAGCTGCCAAGTCTGAATTGATATATTCTCGTGGGGAATGGCTTGAAGCAGACAATGTTTATGAAGATCGATTGTTGATTGGCTTGCTCTTCTGGAAGTCGAATCTACAGGTAATATTTATGGTCTCGAAGATTGCAGAGCAGAGCTCGTGAAAGATGCAACAGATGTGGTTTCGGTCCGTACAAACCAGCTTCACCAAGTCTCACCTGGAATTTCTCTTCTTCCGGTGTCTGAGCCGTCTGAAATACAACATCCAGTTTTTCAGACGCCCGTGAAGACCGAACACACAATGGACAATAACAACATTCCAGGCCGTGACGTGGCTCATTTGGAATCCATGAGACAGGCGAGAAGAAGTGAGCGTATTGCCTGTGGACCCGCTGGCTGTTGGTACTCGATGGGAAAATTTTTGCAACATCATTTGTTCCCACAGAAACAACGTCAGTCGAACCCTACTATGGAATGGATCTCTTTTCGCGCTCAGCTTAATCCACAGATGGATAGTCTAATCGAGAATCTTCGAAAGAAACTCTGGGAATTTGGAGATCGTCCTTACACATCCGCTGGGGCAAGGAGAAGGAGAAAATAGGAAGCAGCGACAAGATTTCACTATTTATAGGTGCGTTGCTTCTGATTAGCTAGCTATAGATGTCGATTCTAAAAACCCTTGAAGATTTTGAAAGGCCTGCTTCGCAGTCAAAAGTCCCACCACAAAAGAAGCAACCTTTTCTCAAACAACTCCAACAGGTTATTCAAGGATTCTCAGATTGCTGTGGAGACTCTATACAGGACTTATCCTATTGAAGAATTTTCCCTTCATGGGCAATGCATCCTTGTCATAATATGGACGTCACCATTTTTGATGTATCGGAGAACGAGTGCGACCAACTGGTCGTTTGAATACGCCTTTGACAATTACAAAACCACCTACGTTTACATGTTCTTAACAATAACCAACATACTAACGCTTAATGAACAGCTCTACGATTCAACATCAAATCGTCTGATCGATGTACAGTCCTTGGAATGCTGTAGCGCCCATGAACCAAGGGTGGCTCATTGATCACCCTTCCGTGCAATTTATCTCAATTTTCAGTCCCCTGAGGGAAGGGGCTAGAGAAGAGTGGTATAGAGACTTTGCTCAACGAGCTGCAACCGAGTATGGCCGCTTAGGTCACATTGTTGATTGGCTGCGGACTTTATCCAAGCGCATCACTAATGTGGTTATGTGGTCTTTGAGAAAGAAGATCTTTGGATGGCGCGCAGTCCTCCCAACTTGGAATCACATGTTTCAGGATGAGAGGTTGCGGTATCGCAAGCTGTGAACTTCATCATTGAATCGATATACTATCTGATAAGGCCTCTACTATGGAGGGACCGGAAGCAAGGAGGGAGAGGGTAGATTCTCCGACTACATATCTAGCTACATATGTATGTAGCATGTAGAAGGGAAGAACTGTAGAACTTAGAACTTACTGCATGAGGGACTAACCCCGGAAAGATAACTATCACCAAAGAGGCCGGAGCGCAGAGCCCATCCGTCGCAAATCAGTCAAGAATATCTATGTCTAATTTCAACTAAAGAATGAGGGTACGAATAGAATATACCACAGTTCTCTATTCAGATTCGGTATCAGGGTCCTCGGGGATCTCAGGATCCGGGAAAACAAAATTACCATCAGCGCCCCAAACGGCGGGCGGAGAAAAGTCTTCATACCAAAGGCCGCCCAAAGCATTAGTGTGAACGAGTCCAAAACGGAAATACTCCAACTCGTTGGGATAAGTACGAGACCAAGTGAAATCTGGTAAATGCTCGCCATCCTTAGGTCGGAAGGCCTGGAAACGCTCCACGTCGTTGACTAAGACACTGAGGCCGTCGGCATGGGGCTCGAGGTCCGGGAACGAGAAGACGAGGTTGTTTGCATCCGTCATGGAAGGAGGATATATCTTAGGTGGAATAGTGCCAAGTTTGGCACCATCAAGGAGAGCGCCTGGAGTTTGTAGAATCGAATCGAAGCCCCAGCGGGCGATTCCGTTTATAAAAAGACCAATAAGGATGCCTGAGTATAGGAGACTGGGTCGCGTTTGCATAGTCGTTCCAGGAAGGAAGAGAAGAGAAAGAATATAGTGGTGGATGCGTAGGTTCATATTCGGAACAGCGACAAGGATGAGAACAACTGCAACCAGGACGCCGTATATGCTTATCGTAGGGAAGAAGCGGCCCTCGCGACGGAAACAGTGTGCTTGACCAAAGGCGATTGCGATCAAAGACCCAACTATAATGATGAGAGCTGTGATAGCACCCGGTTGCTGCTGGATATCATGGGGCGTCAGGCGAGAGATTGGAATGCGATCAAATGTGTCCGTGTTCAGGGCGCCCACCCAGCAGCCGCCCAGCCACAGAACAGTCTTGTCCCAGTGTGCATCCAAATTTTTAAGCGTGTGCCGGACGCAGAAGTAATACAGCACGAATCCCACAAATGCACCAGGCAGAAATCGGCCGAGCGCAATTGACACAAGGTCGTAATAGCCCCCCATGGGGGGTGGGTCGGACACCATGGCGACTTGAAACCAGATAATGAAATATATCATGGAGTAGAATGCCGGTGCCGATGTCACGACTAATGACAAGATGGTGGTCCAGATCAATGTGAAGGCGAATAGCGACCAGCGCGCATCAGAGCATTTGACCGGTTTTGTCTCGTTCGAGTCTGGAGATGACGCTTCATTACTGAGTCGGAATGACATCGGGAAGCTCGAGAGAAACTCAATACTTTCAATTCCGTGCTGCATGATAGAATGGAAGGCTTCCTGCTCGCCGGTGCGGTGCAAGATGCCACATCCGCCCCTCGCGTCATCAATTAGACCTGCATGCAGTGCCGAGGCGCAAATTGACGAATCGCCGCGGTAAGTGCCGCTGTCATGACCATCCATCTCAAATGGCTTACCTCCAACGACTAACGGTCGGTAATTCAGCTCCTGGTCGCCAACAACATACGGCTCTAAGAGAATCGCGGCTGCACAGCCAGAAGGGCAGCGGAACGCGAAGGATTGGTCCTCGAATGGGCGACAAAGGTCACCATTCAGTCCGCAATTCGTGGAGTTGCTCCTAGATAGATATGGTCAGGTTTACAAGATCAGATGATCAGCTCAGGGATAAAAATAGAAACACACCATAAACGGTGGTGACACGACAGCTTGACGGGCTGCCCATACCCCGGAACTTCTTGGCCCGCAACAGAAGCTTTTAAGGATGCGAAGAACACAACAATCCAAAAGAATAGACCACCAAAAAGGAGCGCTATCTTTGAACTCCTGTGCGGAAATTTCTGATCAATTAGACGCGCCGGCGCAGCCTGTAAATGAGGGAACCAAGGGTTAATGTGATAGACATGCGCCGGCGTCGGGCCACGGAGCCATGCACACAATCCCGAGGGCGTACAAGAAAACGGCGGATCGCGCTCGAATTTCTCCGAATGAGCCTCCATGCGGCGTTCCGAGGTCAGAAGAGGCACGTCGCCTACTTCCAAGTCCAAGCTTAGTTCATCGCTGTCGCGGGCTTCATCCTTGTACTGCGACCGGATCTCCTGCAAGGGATACTCGGTCGACTTATCCGATGAGGGCGATCGTGCACTTGCCCCGGAAGACTCCGGTCGCGACTGCATTTTATATACAAAGTGTTTACCTCAGCTCTGGAGCTCTCACAGGGAAGGAAGTGGTGGAATTCCTCATTTTCAGTCTCGAACTCGCCTTGGTCCCCAGGACCTCGGGAATTTCTTGGCTTTTAGTCATCCGGATTGCTGGCCCGGGGATATCAAGATCCTGGACCTCATGGATCTCATCTCGGACGAGTTCACAAAAGATAACAACAATTTGAATGTATATTAAGTCCCCTGACCTACAACTCTTCTTCATATACCCCTACTCTTCAAAGATGTGACACTCCTCCGTCGCCTAGAGACCAACAAGTCCACCGAATCACTGAAGATGACAATGTTCCAGTTGATCCAGTTGCTTGAAACATTACTCTCCAGGCAGAATCTGCATAAACTGAGTCACGGGGATTTCCATGTCTGTCTTGCAGAGAGCCCGTAGGCCGTGGTAATGTCTGCATTGCAATTTGTTCGGGAGGAGAGGAAGTTGTCTCGCCATACTCGAAGAGTGTTACGATAGTCGATAACGACAAGCGGCCTTGCGAAATCTCGTAACGGAGAACGGAGAAGTCTACTGTAATATCTTAGCACGAAGGAATGGGAGCCACTTAACCTTCTATTTGCTGGTTACCACCAAAGGTGCGGCTGCGCCTCTTACTATTACTGCCACCCCATCCGTTTTTCTCTGGTCAATTCGAGTTCCTTGGAAACTATCTCGCGTAGTCATGGCCGTTGGCAACGTGCCGAGACAAATCTAGATCACAATACTGTTCTGCATTAAATATTCCATGGTATTGCTTCAAGCGAGGCTGATGTAGCGGTAGGTTTCATGGACCCATGCCTTGTTGCCCGAAGAGAATAGACTCTTCGTCATAAAGGCATGTTTCACGGCATCGATTGTCCGCCTCACACTTCCGAGATTCCGTGTCTTCTGGATATTGGCCAGCCGATCCAGTACAAAGCGTCGTTGTTCTTCATTTTCCAGGCCTGTGTTCCCAAGCACAAACAGAGGCCATAACAAAGTAGCCATATCAGGAAGCGTGGAGATCATTTCAATAATCGACAATATAAGACGGCTTTTACACCCTTTAGATACCCCGAGCCTCTCCTGGTCGTCGATGTCTGGCTCATCCTCGAGGCGTTCATTAAGGTAAAGGAAGGCAGCTAGATGTTTGACCTGTGCAATTCTCTCGAGGTCTTCTCTGCCCGTTGAATGTTGAGGAAGCGTCTGTTTCAAGCCAAGAAGGGCTGTGCCAATATCTAATGACACATTGGCATAGTATTGAGTCTCGGCGGGGGTTAAACGTCGGTATTTTTGTATCTATAGTTATCTCGCGGTTAGGAATATATTTCGATAGGGTGGAGCATTCAAGCAGTACTTTTGCTTTTGTGGAAGCTTGGATCGAGATATTGTTTATCAAAGTCAACAGGCCCCGCGAGCACCCCATCAACATATCGATCTGGCAGATAGGTCAGCATTGATACAGTAAAGTAAACATAAATGCGTGGTACTTCTTCGAGGTTTTCGCTTCCAGACCACAACTCTGAGATGTCATCTTGATGCCAACTTTCAGATGCGGTACGGCTCATGATATTATGAGCTACAAAGTACATCCTGAAAAACTTCCATAAATCAGATGAGCCGTGAGACGTTGGGTAGTCGATAAGTTGCAAGCCACCATGAAGATGTGTCATCCATGAAGGAGAGCATCCATCTGATATCTATGTTCATGTCAGAACAGGATGTACTGCACGCATATAGGAAGACAAAGACGTACGTCGTGAAAGCACAGCATCAAGATCGAAGCTACCATGCCATCGTCATGTACACCAGCGGAAATTCCCCGTCGAAGCCCTTGCAAGGCCATGTGCTTATAGTGACAGACTTGCTCTGTAAATTGATCCTTTCCCAGAAGGCATAGTTGATTTGCGGAAACTGCCAGAACGGCGTGTCGAAGGGTGGTGGAGACAAAAGATAGGGGAACCACAAGAGAGATGTAAGGATTATACAATTCACTTAGAGAGCAAGACGGGCTGATACCGCGGATAAAATAATCAAGAAGATAGGTCTCCGTGTCCAGAAAAGAATGAAGGGGGTGGTAGATGGAAGTTGGGATCGAAAGGTCCGTACAGAGGTCTATGCTGTTGGGGCAAATCTGGCCTGAAGAATGTGTTCGAGGGACGCCATCGGAGTCTTGAAAGTCACCCTCATTTAAATTCAAAAAGAACAAGCGGTTAGTATACTGGGTCAGAGGAAGTCCTTGGAATATAGTTTCCGTTTTCCGGTTATGTGCGGTTGTGCCGGGTCTTTTTGTCCAAACCCCTTACGAAGGAGAGTCAGTAGGAGATAGCCAGAAGAAGATAGCGGCAGTAGGTACCTTCACGGCCAAAGCTAATGCCCCGTTGGATAGCATCCTCTCGGAACATGATTTTGAGCTCCCGGACGCATTCAACATCAAGTCTCTCACACCGTCTGCATCGGGGGTGCTCTTCTGTGCATTGGATGTGTTGCTCTACTCATGTCAGCGATTTAGTTCCTAGTTATGATGAGGGTTGTACCTTTGCATTTGGCGCATCCAGTTCGCCTTCTGGTGTTTTGTTTTCGTGGCATAGCGTTAAGGTGGAACGCGGACAAAGGTTAGATGGAAAGAAGGCGAAGCGGGGGCATGACTCGGACCTTCTGCCGTGACAGGAGGCGATAAGGGCTAGCGCCGGTAGGCGGGCAGATGGGAACGGTACCGCCCTAAGGCCCCGGCGAGGTTGTGCATCTTTATGTAAGACCTGTATTTAACCTTGGAATTCCAATCCATGTTACCTTTCTGTTTTCTGTGTGTTACATTTTCGTTTCCTCTGCCTTATCGCTCCTATGTCGAATAGGTTCTTCGGCGAAGGGAGTTATCGCTGGGGAGAAATCAATTTGCACTAGGGGTTTCGCAGATATCCTGGTCACATACTGGTCCGTCCTCCACGGCTCCCTCAGTTCTCTCTTATCGCCACTTTTGGACCGTTATTTTCGCACTGGATCACCATAATAGGTTTTCCTAATCGCGGGCAAACCTCAGAAAGGGAATGGTTTTTGTGACAAGTGGCATATTTCAAGACTTGTCTAACAACTCTCAAACATAGCCGCCTATTACGATGAAGTGTCATGTCATTTATTCCGTAAAACATGGCTGTCTGAATATTCAACGAGAACTCGCCCGCTACGTAGTATACTTGAATGCCTTTTGCTGAAAGTCAGTTTTATCAGCAAAGGCATCCATCAAGTCCCGATCCGCTCGATCTTCTCCAGGGTCAACCTCAACTCTAGCTCGGCGATTCAATTTGTGAGCAATGGCCCAGTAGACTGCCATCAACAGAACGCAGACGCAATAGCAAGCCAGCATGGCAACAAATCCTCCTGTGTATGCTGGTGCTTGATTTGCTCGAAATGTCTGCGGCCCGATGAGGTTCCCCACGGCATACCCAATATAGAGAATGGAATACTGCACGGTCTTCTTGGTATTACCCGCCGTGTTAGCCTGAGCCATGGAGATTCCCACAACGTACGGACCGAAGTATGTGTATAGCTTAAGAGAAGTGATTAGTCGGTTGTACAGTGCTAAGCCGGAACCTGAACTCACCAGATAGATACCAACCATCTGACCACCCAGGTTGGTTCGCGGTAAGCTGTAGACTAGGATGGCACCAATTATAGGGACGCAAGATGCCAACATAGTGACCAGACAGCGACGGTTGGTCCACTTAGCCGCGATCCAAGAGAAGCAGAATGCCGACATGGTAGACATCACACCGGTCGGCATGTTCAGCAGGGAGGTAATCACGGGTGAGAAGCCTAGGTTGTTGATAATGATGCCGCTGAAGGTTGTGAGTCCTCCGTTGGGAATGTTGATGGCGATGTTGAAGAAAAATAGAACCCATGTCTTCGGATCAATGGCCGCCTCCAGAGCCTGATCCCACTTCCATTGCCGGTTTGTGATCCCAGTTTTGTTCTCGGCCAGGCGCTGGACAGCGTGGTACTTCTCTCTATCGTTGAGGAAAAAGGCATTCATAGGAGAGTCCGGGAGGAAGATCAAAGCAATAATAGACCACAGTGCCGAAATAGAGCCTATCTACAAGTCAGAAAGATTAAGTGCAAATTCATCTAGGCCAGACGTACCGGTGATCAGAAAAAGGTATTGCCAAATAGAAAGTGCTGCGCTAGATGGAATGTGACCGACCGCCCACGACAGGAAGCCGTTGACGATGGAACTCGCCGCCGCAAATACCAGGGCATTGCGAGGGGGCTGCTCAGGCTTTTTATAGAACCCAGCAACGATTAGAGAAATCGATGGAACAATGATTGCCTCCAAACAACCTAAATACCTTATCAGTGCCATTATCCAAGACGGATCATCACAGCTCACCTACCCATAAAGAATCTCAAAGCCATCAGTCCGCTCCAATTACGAGAGACTGGCAAGAGAAGCGCCATAATTGACCAGCCTAACGAGCATGCAGATAGGTATTTGGCAGAGGGCAGTCTGTGGACCAGGTACGTGGATGGCCACATGCCAACAATGGCCTGCCACTAGATTAGAAAAGATGAAACCACTGATTGAGACGGTACGCACCCCGAGAGATAAGATGGAGCCAGCCCAAGAATACTGTTGACCCACAAGATGAAGGTCATTTTTGAGGCCATAGATGGCCGCAGTACTGATAGCGACCTTATCAACAGCGCCCAAGGTAGCGGTCATAAAGAGCTAAGAACCGGTTAGCTTGTTCGCGTGCCCTAAGAGGGGACTGGCAACATACCATTGGCAGCAGAATCCAATCCATCTTGCGTACCATCTTCTTCTCTTCTTCCGGGGACAAAGGTGCAAAGCCAGTGCTATGAGCAAGGTACTCTGCTGCCTCATCCATTGCCCTGGAGACACCCTGCTTCTCTACTTCCGGTGTCCCGACAGAAACATTGCCTTTCTGTTCTGCCATTGTGAAGAAACTTGAAGAACGAACTATATAATTAACTCAGGAGGACGGCGACCAGCAACAAACAGACTCCAGACTGCCGCTCTTATAAGGTCCAAGCAAACTTCCCCCCACAATATCGTAGACCTTCGATAAAAGGTAGCCAGTGGGGAGGCCCGGTTACAGATATCGGCTCTTGAGCCCATTGGTGAATCATCTGGCTGGAGACCGTGTCGACCTTCCCCCGGGGAAAAACCGAGGGGAAAATAGAGTTTGTGGGGAGACCCACTTATAGATACCCCGGAGTCCCCAAGGCGATTAGGCCGTATCGACCTTCCTCGGCACTCGTAGGGCCCGAATAAACTTTCCAAGCGCTCAGATCGGCGTACCGTGACGACCTTACTCTTTCGACGCGATTTAGCGTCGCAATCCACCTGCAATTATAAAATTGTTTCAAATCCCAAAGGAACCCAAGATGCAAGTGCGAAACAATTTTCATTTTCTTCCAATCTTCCAAGATGACGGTTACGAAGCCGACGGTCGGAGGCGTCAGGATTGCCATCGGTACGGACTTTAAAGATGCTTGCACAACCAAAAGTCCTACAGAGAATAACGCTAATTATTCTCTCTTAGATCGCGGAGGCACATTCACCGATGTGTGGGCGAGTCTGCCGGGAAAGCCCGACGTCGTTCTAAAGCTGTTGTCTGTTGACCCTGGCAACTATGCTGATGCGCCAACTGAGGGTATGAAAATATGACACTCATAACGGAGCGTTCGGGAAAGCCGGCTGATAAGCTATTGTAAAGGTATCCGACGCGTCCTCTCGCTGTACCAAGGGCGGGAAATACCTCGCGGGGTTCCTCTTCCAAAAGATGATCTCGAATTCATCCGAATGGGAACAACAGTAGCGACGAATGCCTTGCTTGAAAGGAAAGGAACAAAACATGCCTTTCTCGTTACGAAGGGCTTTCGCGACTTGTTGAAAATCGGATATCAATCCCGACCGCGCCTCTTTGATCTAAACATCGTTAAACCCGATGTCTTGTACGCTGATGCCAGGGAAATTGACGAGAGAGTGACAATTGAGGGGTTTGATGAGGACTTGGATGGTTTGTTCAAGTCGGACAACGAGATACCAGGAGTGCTCGTGAGGGGCTCGAGTGATGACATGATCCGCATCTTGAAGCCTCTCGATGAAGCTGCTGTGAGAGAAACTTTGCGAGAGCTACGGTCTCAAGGCTATAATACTGTTGCAGTGTGCTTGGCGCACTCCTATATTTTTCCAGCACATGAAAGCCGAATCGAAGAATTGGCTCTAGAGGAAGGCTTCACCCATGTGTCATGTTCGTCTTCTGTGGCAGCCAAGATGATCAAGATGGTGCCCCGTGGAGGCTCTTCGTCAGCTGATGCATACCTCACGCCTGAGATCAAAAATTATCTTAGCGGATTCTCAAAAGGATTCCAAGGTGGAAATTTGGATGGTGTGCGTTGTGACTTTATGCAGTCAGACGGTGGACTTGTAAGTCATGACCGTTTCAGTGGCCTCCGAGGTATCCTTAGTGGGCCTGCAGGTAAGACTAGACCTACGACTGTGATTAGGGACATTAGACTGATAATAAGCAGGCGGTGTTGTGGGCTATGCTCGCACATCTTACGACGATCACACAAAGACCCCAGTTGTTGGTTTCGACATGGGAGGAACCTCGACTGATGTTTCTCGGTACGGCGGCAACTTTGAACATGTCTTCGAGAGTAATACCGCTGGTGTTACTATTCAGAGCCCGCAGCTTGACATCAACACTGTTGCCGCTGGAGGTGGCTCCATATTGTTCTGGCGAAATGGTCTATTCATAGTAGGCCCTGAAAGTGCTTCATCGCATCCGGGCCCTGCATGTTATCGAAAAGGAGGGCCTTTGACAGTAACGGACGCCAATCTATTCTTAGGGAGACTCATTCCTCATTTCTTTCCCAAGATCTTCGGTGAGAATGAAAATCAGCCACTTGATGTGGAGATAGTGAAGAAGAAGTTCATCACGATGACCAATGAGATCAACCGTGATACTGGAAAATCACTTTCTCCTGAAGAGGTCGCCTGTGGTTTTCTTGATGTTGCCAACGAAGCCATGTGCCGACCCATTCGGGCGCTGACCGAGGGTAAAGGATATGACATTGGTAGGTGCGATCCAAAGTCCCTTTGTGGTCTAGTTCTAACACATAATAGCAAATCATAATCTTGCTGTTTTCGGAGGTGCAGGTGGTCAGCATGCTTGTGAAATTGCTAAAACACTCAAGATCTCCACAATAATCATTCACAAGCTCTCAAGCATCTTGTCCGCATACGGTAAGACGCTTACTTTTAGATGATTCATGATATGTACTAATATTCCAAAGGCATGGCGCTGGCGGACGTCGTTCAAGAGGCACAGGAGCCTGTGAATGAGAGATACAACGAGACTTCTCGTGGTCGACTGGAAGAAAGACTTTCTAAACTTGAATTCGTTGTCCGAGAACGATTGATGAGACAAGGCATACGAGAAAAGAGCATAACTTGTGAGATGTATCTCAACATGAGATACCAGGGTACAGAGACCTCGATCATGGTCCTCAAACCTGCCAACGGTGACTTCAAGGGAGAGTTCAAGAAGATCCACCTGCGAGAGTTCTCCTTCGTCTTTTCCAACGAAAAGGCGATCTATGTCGACGATGTGCGTGTCCGGGGCATAGGTGCAAGTGAGAGAGAAGACTGGGAAGGAGAACAACTTGGAGAACAACTGCGCGCTTTGAACTTCCAACCTGCCTCTTTGAAGTTGGTGGAGCGTATGGTAAGTCCTCCTTGGATTACCCATAATTGTACCCATTACTCATTGTTGTAGGTCCCCGTCTATTTCCAGCAAACCGGGTACAAGCAAACCCCCGTGCTGGTGCTCGAAAGTTTGCCGCCGGGTCTATCAATTGATGGACCCGCTGTGATTATTGATCAGACCCAAACACTTGTTGTTGTACCGGGTGCTGTAGCCAAGGTCCTCCGCTCCCATGTTGTCATTGACGTTAGTTCTACTTCCACTGCAACTATTGAGCAACCAACTGTGGTTGATCACATCCAGCTGTCTGTTTTTGGGCATCGCTTTATGAGTATCGCGGAGCAGATGGGTCGTGCTCTACAGAAAACAGCAGTTTCTCTAAATATCAAAGAGCGACTTGATTTCTCTTGCGCTCTATTTGGACCTCAAGGTACGCATACACTACAATTTATGTGTTGAAACCAACTGACATGATAATGCGCAGGCGATCTGGTTGCCAATGCTCCCCACGTACCTGTTCATTTAGGATCTATGAGCTACGCAGTCAAGTACCAACATGAACTGCACAAAGGCAAGCTATCTCAAGGGGACGTCCTGGTAGCCAACCACCCGGAATCTGGCGGCAGTCACCTTCCAGACATAACCGTCATTACTCCGATCTTTGAAAAGACAGGCTCGACCGTGGCTTTCTATGTTGCCTCAAGAGGCCACCATACGGACATTGGCGGACTTGGTGGTACATCAATGCCACCTAATTCCACAGAGCTCTGGCAAGAGGGAGCAGCTATCCGATCCTTTAAATTGATCCATGGGGGAGTTTTCGACGAGAAAGGTATCACCGGCATACTCTTGAGCCCAGGCGAGTACCCAGGCTGTACCGGGAGTAGGCACATCCAAGACAACATCTCAGATCTGAAGGCGCAGGTTGCTGCGAATCATAAAGGCATGGTACTGGTTCAGGCCCTCATTGAGGAATACACTCTCCCTGTGGTCCAAATGTACATGGGAGCCATCCAGTCCAATGCGGAGCTGGCTGTGCGTTCCTATCTTCTTGATACACTCTCGAGACTCGGGCCCCATCTATCAGCCGTCGACCAAATGGATAACGGAACGTTGGTCAAACTCACGGTGGATATATCCAAAGATGGCTCGGCAACCTTCGACTTCACTGGCACAGGGGTCGAAATGCTAAGCAACATCAACGCACCGCCAGCAATCACCCACTCAGCCATAATCTACACGCTTCGTCTTCTTATCGGCACCGACATTCCACTAAACCAAGGCTGCTTATCGCCAATCAATGTGATCATCCCGAAAGGAAGCTTCCTCAACCCGTCAGCTGGGCCCGCCGTCTGTGCTGGTAATACGCAGACCTCGCAGCGCCTGGTCGATGTGATCCTACGCACTTTCCGTGCTGCTGCCGCCTCACAAGGGTGCATGAACTGCATTGGGTTCTTCGGGGAGGGTGGCACCAACAGCACCGGTCAGAAGCTCAAAGGCTACGCGTATGCATTTGGCGAGACAATTTGCGGCGGCTCCGGTGCCACAGCGGCGCAAGATGGCGCGTCAAGCGTGCATACCCATATGACAAACACGCGCATCACAGACGTGGAGAGCCTTGAGAAGCGGTATCCTGTCATTCTGCGCGAGTTTGCTATCCGCGAAGGGACTGGTGGCAAAGGGTATCATCATGGTGGAAATGGTGTGGTGCGTGATATTGAATGTCGGGCTCCCCTAAGTTTTAGTGTTATCACAGAACGCCGAAGTGTGCCTCCATACGGAATGGAGGGAGGGGATGATGGTGAACGTGGCGCGAACTACTGGGTGAGGAAGGTGCAGAATGAGCGTGGGGCCGATGAGTGGCGCTGGGTTAATATGGGGTCGAAGAATATGGTCCGCATGCAGGCGGGAGATCGATGTGTGGTTCATACTCCTGGAGGGGGTGGATGGGGCTTTGCTGGAGCAGCTGGGGACACTACTGGGCATGTGGAGGGCCGGAGCCAGAATACCTTGGTCGAATATCCAAGGGCATCCGGCAGTGTGAGCGCCTATGATACTGCTCAACAAGCATCAAACTAGGTATCCTCTTAGATAATTACATTGAGAGAAGTTTGTAAAAGTCTATGATATCACCGGTTTACTCTGTAATACTAGTAACCTGGCCGGCAGGCCGATTTTGCATCTTGATAGTATTGGTTGGAGTATCCGCTATTGCGTATCGTGATTCTATCGTACCCTAGTGCCATCCTAGTGCCATCTAGAATGATATGTCACAGATCAAATTCTGTGAACTACCCCCCATTGGACGAAAACAGAATGTCTCCGCGCCAGCTCCGCGCTAAAGCGAAAAAAAAGCCAGTCGGCTATCCATTCCATCCCATCCGCATAGGGTGGGATGGGATATTATGCATCCCATTTAGATTTTACGGGCAATTATAAGAACTCTATGAGGGTTTTGTGTATTCCGTAAGCCTATTCTAGATGGATATGTACAAATATTACTCCGGAACATTGTCGGGGACAACGGCCCCGCCGTAAAGCTGCGCTAAATCATGGCTTCATCTCGCATGCAGCTTTAGGTCGAAGTTTCTGGTATTTTATTCCGTTCCGAAGTTTTCGGGGGGAAAAATCCCAGTCCTTGTCTTTCTCTTTTCTAACTGTTCCGGACCTAAACGCACATTGTCAATATGGTCGAAACCTCTCCTACCCTACCGCCGCTGCGGATCGGCACCCGGCGATCCAATCTGGCCGTCGTCCAGGCTGAGGGCATCCGCGACAGTCTGGAAAAGATCGCCCCGGAACGGTCCTATGAGATTGAAGCCCTCCGCACACTTGGTGATCGAGACCAATTGACGGCGCTATATGACTTCGGCGCCAAGAGTCTTTGGACAACCGAGTTGGAGGAAAAGCTCGTATCCGGTGAATTAGATGTCATCGTGCATTGCCTGAAAGGTGAATAAAACTGATTTTTCTTCTCTTTCCCCTCCGCATTCGGGTTAACCAGACCAGATATGCCAACCACACTTCCTGATACCTGCGAGCTCGCGGCAATTCCGCCCCGGGATAATCCCCGGGATGCACTGATCGTGAAGTCTGGCCTGCCTTATACGAGCTTGAAGGATCTCCCCGAAGGCGCAGTCGTAGGCACTTCCTCGGTCCGGCGTTCGGCTCAGCTTCGCCGTCTGTACCCTTATCTTCGCTTTGCGAATATCCGCGGCAATGTGGAGACTCGTCTAGCCAAACTCGATAACCCAGACAGCGAGTACACGTGCATCATCATGTCTGCCGCAGGTCTTGAGCGCGTGGGCCTTAAGTATCGCATCAACCAGTACCTGCGATCCAAAGATGGGGGCATTCTCCATGCTGTTGGGCAGGGCGCCCTGGGCTTGGAGATTCGCAAGGGAGACACGCAAACGCAAGAATTACTTGACCAGCTGGCTGATAGCAAGTCGACTCTCGCTTGCCTTGCTGAGCGGTCGCTCATGAGAACCCTCGAAGGCGGTTGCAGCGTTCCCATTGGGGTTGAGACAGAGTGGATCCGATCTGATGACTTAAAGATCACTGCCATTGTTGTCAGTCTTGACGGCTCTGAGAGCGTTGAAGATACCGTTGAGGCGAGGGTCCAGAGTGTCGACGAAGCAACGGCTCTCGGAAAGGAAATGGCGGCAAGATTGATCAAGGCTGGCGCAGAGGCAATTCTCAAGGACATCAACATCAACCGTCCATCAAAGGACTGATAATGGTACATATTTCATGAACCACCAATGGCGAAGCTGAGGATTAGCCACTGAAAAGGTCTAACTTTCATATACATCATTGGATCATAATAGAAAACCGACTTAAAGATTTTTCCAGTTGAATTCAAACAATGCCAGGAATTTCCAAACTTTTCGATCTAGTTCCAACTTCTTTATCCAGGTACAGTAACATGTAGAGGGAAGTAGACTAGTTCTGGGTCTAACGTTGTCCTTACTCCAGAGCCAATGAACTCAGGCGTAAGTTGCAGAAATGCACTGTCAGGCTAGCGGAAGCCATCGGTATTGGCGTTCCCATTCAAGTTCCCATTCTCCACGATCTGGAGATCGGGCCTTGGTGTTTAAAAAAATAGAGCTGTCCAGCTTAGTAGAAGGGTGTAATGTACAATGTTTGATGACTGGCGTTCAAAAGAGTCCCCCTCGATAGATGTTTTCCTTTCGCCTAGTTCGGCCGAGCGTCCATATCAGACCTTATATTTTCTCTTGTAATTCCATCTGGACACATTGTTTATTCCGAGAGTACGGCATCTCTACCCTCGCCGGGCCTTTTCATGGACAGGGCATCAACACAGACGTTAACAATCCGAGTATACCGAGGAGGTAGAACCTGAGTCGTTTTAAGCTCGCGTCTCCGGGGTCGAGACGATTGTAAGAGGATTGGGAAAGGGATTTATACATGGATTAATGAATCTTGTTACAATATATTTTGAAGACCGAACGAATGACAGTTTTCATAATGAAAGTAAGACTATGAAATAACTGAAATTCAACGAGTATATGAGCCTTTTTTGCTTGTTTTTCGTTTCCTTTTCTGTAAAGGGGAGAATGTTGGAAATGAACGCATGAATAGATAACAAGAGTTTACCGGGGACACATGCTGGGGTACCTATAGAGACCCGTAGTGTTAGCACCTGTACGGGACTCCGGCTCAGAGTCCGGCTCAGACTCAGGCACAGGTCGTGGGGGCAAAGCAGGTGGGTAGGGTCCGGGAACAGGCCTGTTATAAGCCACATAAGTGTCAACGGGAGGAGGAGGGCGACGCCTCACTGGAATCCTCGAGTTCGTACGAGCCATACGAGCAGCAGGCGGGATTTGAAGAGCATTGATATATGCCTCTGGGGCGGAATCCTCAGCGTAGGAAATGGTCGCGGGGAATGGGACAACCAAATCCCAGAGGAATGACTGGGCCTCAAGATGGCGGGCAATATCAGCGGGGTCCCTGTGGCGCAAGAATTCACCGGTCAGCATGTTCAAAGCGTCAGCTGTATAAATACAGGCCCAATCAAACTCGGACATTGGGTCCTGTCCGGGGCGATCAATGAGAACTGTGAAAAATCCAATAGGCACTGAACGCACAACCTCATTTGTCGGACGATCAATGGCCATCATCTGTCCGGCTCGCTTAAGCTGTTCCAACGACAGATGAAGCCGACCTACCCTATCATGGAGTTCATCCTGAATCGATAAGCCATTGTTCAAGAGGTCGTCAATGAGTCGCTGACAGCGGGCTTGGAATCCAGTGCGTGTAGTCTGGAAGAGCCGGGCTGAAGTGTTATCTAGCATCACTGACATGGCTTCTCACTGATACCACAAGCCGTAGCTAGCGGGGTAGATTGTGATGGGTCGTGGTAGCGATGGACAGGGAAGATGAATCCCTAACTTAAAAGTCAGCAAGGGTAGCTTACCAAGGACGGTTCTGGCTTGATGGGATATTGTAGGATGGCCCAGTAAGGCCTACTATTGTATTGTTTCTCGGATGCCCTTCCCATTATCCGAGCTATTATTGCGAATAAAAGGAAAAAGCGAATAAAAGGCAACAAGAAAGACGACAAAGGCAAAAAAGGAAATACATAGAACAAGGAGACATGGAATACAATGGCCTTGTTGACGGTTCTTTGTTACTTAGGCCGGGTATGAACCTAGGCGAAAGTGTGGGTGTAATGAAACGTTTGAGAACCATTGAAGCAACACCCATAGCTGTGCTGATAATTGATGCAAGCCTTTGTAGCCATATCCAATGATATCCAATTAAACCATACGTATTGAGAATAGATTCCAAAAGCAGCGACTATATAGCAAAATCAACAACCACTGCAAACGAAGCACCAAAACATTATTCCTCCGAGGGTATTAACGTAAGTCGTAATTTGTTGGCATCCAGATCATGAGGAGAAGATGACAGGAAAACAAGAAGACAAGAAAGCAAGAACACAAGAATTTGATTAAATGATTGACGTCACTGAGCGCGATGCACAAGGGTGGTGTGCAGACTCGGTCGTGAATGCCGGAGTACCACTATTGATGTCTGCTTGCCGATCTGACGATTACCTAGACGGCAGAACGACCCCAGCGGCGGCGGCGACTATCCATTATATCAGTATCAATCAAACAAGGCCATGTTATAAGATGTGCATTGGTCACTTACACTCCGTCAGTGGTGTTTTGGCGCACGCGGAAGGTAAACCAGATCCCCTGAAGACTTATTAGTACTTATTCGTATGTATTGGATAATCTCATCACATACCACGATAGCAGAAACAAGCCAGATAATAGCTGAAAGAAAGCTGAAGGCCTCAGCAGCCTTCCACCGGCCACATGTCTGGTCTCCTCTAAAATGCCAGGACCAGATACTGCCGCATGGCAAGTGGCGGATGGTGTCGACGAGGACACCGAACGCAGCGAACCAAGCAAACGAAATGAGGATGTCCACTAGATTCCAGTAAGTATCGGCCTATATTCACCAGGTAGTATATCAAGCACATACTGGGCCAAGAGAAGAATCCGGACGAGAATGGGATTAACCATATAAGACCCAGCAATATCGATAAGCCAGCGATGACTTCAGTATAGATCCATCGCGACTGAGGCCACCAGTTAACATCTGCACCACTGTTGTTAACCTCGGCAAGGTAGTGTCCAATAACACCTGCGACGACCTAAACGAGAGTCAGATGTTGTTTGTATGTCTGTGTAAATTGGGGTTATTCACAGCTGCGAAGGCGATCTCCGCAACGCGGAGAATGATAGACGCGAGGCGTGAAATGACGGGCATTGTTAAGGTGTTGTCAAATCAATGAGCTGCTTGATAGATTTGAAGAATGTGATTGTATAAGGGAATAATCTGTCAAAGTCGAGAAGATGTAGCGCGGATGTGAGGTATGGGCTGGGGAACACGAGAAGCTATATAATGTGTGAAGTCGCACGGACAAGCAAACTGCGAGAGGGAGCGACAGTGTGTCTTTTAAGCAAGGGACGAACGTGAAAACCCAATAAACTGAAAAATATTCAATTAAAGACCTAAAAACAAAGCAGAGCTTGCATTAGGCGCGACCAATAGAGTCAATCTAAGCCTCCTAGTGTCGTCAGATCAGTTCCATATACAGCAAGTCCTTTCCAACAAGACAAGATCACTACTGGTCAAAGTGTACCGTGAACAAAAACGTGCCCAACCGTTTCCAGGCTTGGGTGGGAAGAGATCGACCTTTCGTGGCGGACTGACCGCTGATGTGGACTGTGGCTGAATGATCATCAACACCCGATCGGGGCAGGGAGTGGGCCTATGGGCTGCGAGGAATAAGGGCGTACAGGTAATGCATAGCCCTGAATTATTCAGACAGTACGGAGTACTGCTGCCTCCATATCGTCACCCCTGTCTTCCCCAGACCCAGCCTCCCCATGCTAGAAAATGTGCTGATATGCTGGCGTGGAATACAAGCTCTCCTGTGCTGGGTTGTGATATACTTCAGTGGCTTGCTTTTCAAGTGATGGGTTGACCGTCGATCCCATCAACTATTGGCGATAGCTCTGATTTGAACCAGAATTGGGTTGGGTCTCCACCCATAGCGATCATTGTTGCTATCTGACAGGTGCATGTTGCTTTCTGCAGCAATACGAGCTACTCCGTATCGGCAGGGGAGATCCGGTTTGAAGCGCAGAGACCTTGACACATCTGACGGCACTTGACATCATCATGTTTAACCTGAGTCATCTGACCCTTCTCTTCAGGCTCTCAGCCCTATGACGTGGGGCCATCTTGATTTTGTGTAGTTTTACCTTATGTCTCTTCTCAGGACATGAGTTATTCTGCATTCCAATGATGTGTTGATCATAAAATTACTTCTAATATTACTACATCATTATTTCACGTTTGACAAGTGGAGATATACCAGAACTAGGCAGATAGCAAAAACATCGAAATGTACAGGCAGGAAGAGCCTAGAAACACACAGCCGATGTGAAATTTACAATTCGAGCTAATAGTGGGCCATGATACTATGAATAGCGACAGCCGCAAGAATGAGGGTATGTATACATATCCACTTTGGAAAAGCCAAGAGGGAGGATCTAATTCGAAATAATGCTGCCTACATCGTCCCCAAAAAAAGAAATTTACATGCCAATGCAACAATGCCTCCCATCCGCAACACCTGAGTCAAAATAAAAGTACCACACTATTACAATGTTTTCGGCAAGACAAGAGTACTACGTATTCTTCTGATCCAAGTGCCATGCCATCACATCGCGGAATATCCCCTTGGACCCAGTCTCGATAGTATTCCCATGGCAAGGAATCAAACGATCAAAGTCCCACCGATCAATCCTTCTCATAGACTCATTGAACGCTGTCCGATCCTGCGCCGAGAGAATATACCATGAAAACCGTCTCTGCCATGTAGCCGGCGGCTTCGTGGACAGCAGCGGCAGAAGAAGCCTTGTGAGGAAATTAGTCCTTGACGCTTCGGGGCTCTTCGAATACTGCTCCTTAGCGGGTAGGTTGAAGAGCAGATCCGCCTCGATGACCGTGCGCGTGGGCTTATGCAGAAACACCAGCTCGCGCGACCCATGGCCATACACATACTCGGTCTCAAACTCGGCATCGAACTCGTTCGAGATCGACCGCGGCAGTTGATCTTCCTTCTTGAATGTGTGTTTGAACGGGGTATCCTGGAACTCCGGGTTCGATTGCCGCTTCTCATAGAGACCCTCCGGGGCCAGGATCTCTGCTTGCGGGTATGCGTTCTTCCATGGGGTGAGGTTGAGGTGGTGTTCGATATCTGGCGCCGCGATGTATTTGACGTTTCCGCCGAGCGACTCGACCATCTCGCGGACTTCGGGCGTTAGGCCCACGGGCGAGAATACTGCGAGGGAGCCGGTGGCAAGCTTGACTGTCGCATGCAAGGAGCGTTAGCACTAAATCTTAAATAGCTGGAGGGTCTCCGTTGGCTTGATATGACTGCACATCATCGCCTGTCCCCCGAGGTATTATGCGCTTTGTAGGTGGGTTCTGTAAGGGTCGGCACTCACCCAGCGTCCCTCGCCCGCCAAACTGCAGGTGTCCGAACCGTGCGAATGGCAGACTCATGGTCACAATTTCTGGCGTCACATGGCGAATTACCATGGTCGCAGAAGGGTTGGCTGGAAAGAGCTGGGGCATTTTGGCGCCTCTCCTACTTTTTTTCCCCTCTTTGTTTGTGCTTTTCGAGTTCGAGAGTGTAAGGCGTTGGTTGTCTCAGTTGATGCGTCTTCAAGCTACAGATATATTTCAAAGCTCGCGCATTAACAGACCAAAGGGAATTACAATTGTAAAACAGTAAATGGTTGAAGAGCTGCTCTGGAGGTTTCAGAAGTTGGGGGAAGAAAGTGGCCAGACAACCTTGGGATGACGTATGACAAGCTTATCTGCCCGGGCCTCTCCACTTTCGGATCGAGCCCGACGGGATTTATCATCGCTTTGGAAGACTTCGGGAACTACCTGTACTTTATAGTTATACAAAGTACATGTGATACGTATAGAAAAGCATGTTCACAGCAAAAAGCTAAATTATTAAATTGACCTAGTAATGCAAGCCAAAAGATCAAGGGGTATCTTGCAAACACACATCGACTCATGCAATCGTGTCTTCGGAAGAAACTCAGGCATACCAACTTGTGCCTGTCTCTTGCTCTTTCTCCTCACGGTGGGGGATGATGGACTCCTCAATATTGAAGACATCGATAATTTCGTGCCACGTCTCGTAATCCAGGCTAAAGACCGCCTGATGCTTTTGCACGCCCTTTTTCTGGGCTTCACTTGGGGCGAAAGGCGCGGCCGCATCTGTCAAATTATTAGTGCTTTATCAACCAGTTATCTCAGAAGAATACTCACGCAGGGTCGGCAAGCCACGACTATCTGTTGATACACCCACTGTGCCGTCTCGCACGAGGAAACTCACGTAGAACAAGTTTTCTATGCTTTGCCCGAAAGACTTCGGGTTGATACAGAAGCGAAACAAGGGGATTCCCCCGTCGTCGGCCATGCTGTGCTTATCCATGATTTGTTGCGCCTTCTCTGGGGTAAGATCTGCTTGGCGGCTAAGCTCCGTCTCGGCGCGTTTCTCACGAACACGCTGGGTATCAGCGAGCAGCTTGTTGATCTCGGAACAGATCTGGGTCAGATTCGTACTGTCCTGCCCGCCAAGATCCTGCTGTGCCATTTCTCGTGGCGCCACGGCTCGCTCGGGATCAATCTGTTCTTGTGCTCTTCGCTGTGTCAGTTGCCGCGTGCGCTTCTGTACTGACAGCGGCCCCAGCAACCATCCAGACACGGCCGGACGAGCATTGCTAGGAAAGCAGGCAGATCGGCCAAGTGTGTCCCAGTTCATCGCATCGCCATCATCTTCGTCACTAGCATCGGGATCTCTTTGGCTTTGACCAAGGCGCCCTCGGCGTCCCTGTGTCCCGCTTGTTGAAGCCGTCGTATTGTTTGGGCCGCGACGCATGAATGATATACACTTGGAGACAAACTCGTCTACATCGATACCCGCAGAGGTGTCACCGAGAGCGAGCTGGGTGGCTTTCTTGTGGGTTAGGTCGGCGGTGTTTACGAGAATGCGCGAATCGAGCGTGGCATCGGCGGTCTGCTTCACTTTGGCGTAGAATTGATTTGCTTGTTCGACAATGTTGAGGATACCATTGTTTCCAGGCTGCATGAGCTCGCCTCTTGTGTCTTTGCGAAATCTGTTAGAACACCGTCACTCGAGTCTTAAGCCCACATAAAGCAACTTACCATTCAGTTCCCTACCAAGGTCTCGAAGTCCTCTCCGTACACTTCTCCGTTCTTCGGGATCCTGATCAGGGTCATAGTATCGTGTGTCGCTGCTGGTTCGTTGAGATGATGCTTGCGATTGCGCAGGTCGGGCAGACTGGGCAGATCGAGCAAACTGAGTAGATTGGGTGGACTGGGCATTTGAGGGGCGGTCGGCTAGCCGCCGTCGTTTACCATGTGCAGGCGGTGGCATCGCAGCGGTAGTTCTTTTATTGATATTCTGATGACGATTTTCTTTATCAGAAGCAAAGGCGTCTGGTGATGGTGTTGATGACGCTGGGCGGTGACCTGGGGTGTGTGCTTCGCCCAGGTGTGTGTGAATGAGACGTGCCATACTCGACTAGTACCTGTTAGGAGATGGGAGTTGCAACAAAGAAAATTCAACAAAGAAAAAGTGGATAACTAATCAGGTACGACTACAAACAGTAGCGCAATTCAGACAAAGAGTACAGCTCGAAAATAACTGGTCCCTAAAAAAAAAAAAAGGATGTATGGCTACATTCAATGATCGCGAACACCCTTGTCGCGTCGCGTAGACCGCGCACGTGACACCCCGCGTTGGTTGCTTATCGGCCATGACGCAGCGACTTGTTGCTCTCTCTAAACGGGGAACAGAGATGGAAGCCTTCACATTTGCCGTGACCACTCAGGTGGACATACCAATACGCCTTAAGATGTATGTCCTCCATTTCTGAGAATTGAGTGTCTCCTCACGTTGACTCATCTACAGTGGCTCGTTAGAGGGGAAGCAGAAGCCGATCCCATACACGGTTCTTGACGAAAACGCCGAGCTACGGCATATCGCCTCCGTACAAGACCCTAGCTCTGATCTTTACGTGACCGCTCAGATATGGTCGGAGTCGAAGCCATTAGGCGTGCCCATGAAGACCAAATACAAGGCCTTCAAAACCACCCGAGTATGGAATGAATGGCTAGAGATGCCCATGTCCATTAAAGATGCCGAGCGTAACGCTCAGCTAGCAATCACCATCGTTGATATGTCTCCACTCGCTGCCGATAGGATTACGCACATCCCATTCGGTGGAACCACAATTACTCTGTTTGACGAAGACGGAAAATTGAAGATGGGCAGACAAAAATGCAAGGTTTATTTAAACAAGGATGCAGACGGCTCCGCCACAACCTCTACTCCATCTGTTTTACCACCTAAGCGCCGTAAACCGAATACCCGCGATCCTTCACAGCAGTCACCCGAAGAGGCGGAACTGGAACGGGTGGAAATCTTGATCAAGAAGCACGAAATGGGCGAGATCCCACGTGTTGACTGGATGGATCAATTACTCTTTCGGGAGTTGGAGAAACTGAAGACAAATGCAGATGAAGCGGCTCAAAAGCGTGCCCTTGAACTTGACGCAGCCCTGCAAAAAGACCCGAAACACGTCAAAGATCAGGATGATAGCTCTGATGGAGAGGACCTCGAGGATGAGTATTTCAACCTTTACATTGAATTTCCACGCTTTGATCACCCCATTGTGTGGGCTGATCACGAGTACCCTCCTCCGCCCATTTCCTCTTGGTCCCAAAATGCACCTCCCCACCCCAATGGTACTCTCAAGCCAGTTCCGGAGGTGCAATATGGACCTGGAATCTCACACGCCGACCCCCATAATATCATTCAAATATACGATCCGGAGGTTGGCCAAATCGGAAACCCATGTGAGGACAAGCACCGGCGTTTGATCCGAAGCCATCGGACTGGCATCATGGACCGTGACCTGAAGCCCAATCCAAAGATCAGGGATGATCTCAATATGATTATCTCCTACGAACCGACGCAAGATCTCACTGCTGAAGAGAAGGACCTTGTTTGGCGTTTCAGGTATCATCTTACACGCGAGAAGAAAGCATTGACAAAATTTGTCAAATCAGTCAACTGGCGTGATGTTGGAGAATCGCGGCAAGCTGTTGAAATGTTCCCTAAATGGACCGAGATTGACGTCGACGACGCTCTGGAGATTCTGGGTCCTACCTTCGATAATCCTGCGGTCCGTTCGTATGCTGTGGAAACACTGCGCAAGGCAGACGATGAGGAGTTGCTTCTTTACCTTCTTCAATTGGTGCAAGCTCTGAAATATGATGCGACTCCGGATAACCAGCCTGACGCGGCTCCGCAGGAGTCCTCACTTGCACATTTCTTGATTTCGCGTGCGGCTAATAACTTCAAACTTGGCAACTACCTACACTGGTATCTCATGGTCGAATTCGATGACGCTGATGCAATTCAGCGTCGGCTATTTGCGCGGGTTGAATACTACTTCATGGTTGAACTAGAGAAGATTCATCCTGAGCATAGAAAGACACTATTGCACCAAGGTGAAATGGTGGCCGTGCTCTCTAAAATAGCCAAGGATGTACGCTTCGCACGCGAAAACAGAGTCGGCAAGATTGAGATGCTGAAAAAGTATCTGCGTGACCCCGATAACGACCTGATCAACATAGACCCACCACTGCCCTTACCTTTGAATCCGGATGTTTCAGTCGTTGGATTATACCCTGATGAATCGAACGTCTTTAAGTCCACTCTTTCCCCTTTGCTTATCACATTCAAGACTTCTGAAGGTCGTCGTTATCCGATGCTATTCAAAGTCGGTGATGATCTTCGCCAAGACCAATTGGTTATCCAAATCATCATCTTGATGGATCGCCTTTTGCAGAAGGAGAACCTTGATCTAAAACTGACTCCTTATCGAATTCTTGCCACCAGCGCAACAGCCGGCGCTGTGCAGTTCATCCCCTCAATTTCTCTCTCCGCGGCGTCCGCCAAGTACAAATCCATCCTCGCCTATCTACAAGCCAACAACCCAGATGACAATGAGCCTCTCGGCGTCCGCAAAGAAACAATGGATACATACATAAAATCATGTGCAGGATACTGCGTCATCACATACCTCCTCGGTGTTGGCGACCGACATCTTGAAAATCTACTTCTAGCGCCAGACGGCCACTTCTTCCACGCCGACTTTGGGTTCATCCTCGGTCGTGACCCGAAGCCTTTTGCACCCATGATGAAACTTTGCAAGGAAATGGTTGAAGGCATGGGCGGTACAACTTCGCCCCACTATCTGCAATTCAAACAGTACTGCTACACTGCTTATACCACGCTGCGCAAATCTGCCAATCTGATTCTCAACCTCTTCAGTTTGATGGTAGATGCTAATATCCCTGATATTCGAGTCGAGCCTGACAAAGCCGTCTTGAAAGTGAAGGAGCGCTTTCATCTCGAAATGACCGAGGAAGAAGCCATCCGCCACTTTGAGCAACTTATCGCAGACAGCGTCAATGCTATCTTCGGTGTTGTGATCGATCGTTTGCACGATTTCGTGCAGGGCTGGCGGGCATAAGCTAGTGCTCCTTTGGATATGTATTCGAAACTCTCAAGGCACTTCCGTGCTGATTTTGCGTACACTTTGTTATTCTTTTGGTTCAAGACCGCAGGAACTAGGCGCCTTGGGAATGATATTATGGGATGAGTATTTTGCTTCTGTTTTCATGAACCGCGGCGTAATATGATGGATTTACAAAAGCCAGGATACCCAAACTAGATTATTTTGTCTGGATAGCAATGATTTGTTGAAACTTCCGAGCAATTGCACACAAGGGCCCTCCGAGCAGGCTCTTGCTTACTGCATAACATAGATCTAGCCAGGCCAAGCCTCGCAGGGTGATGTCTAGCGTAATCAGAATTTTCCAGGATGTTCTTCTCAGTCTTGTATCGACCGCCAGTCCTATAGCCTGCACATGCCCTTGCTGGTAAGTCTGTCTCAAAGGGGAAGTCTGTTAGTCACAAAAATTACGTTTTACGGGAATCGCCGCACTCCGGGGTAAATTCTTGTAGCAATTCGTAACGCCGCCAATTTTGGACTCTATGGACCTGTCAGTAGCAAGGTAATATGGACGAGAGGGCTTTCTACTGTTTTCTATTGGTGTGGAAGGCCGTGTCTAGTGGATTCTGAATGTGCTGGATGTCTTCCGAGTGATCATCCTGGCATCAACGGCAAATACAATCTATTTAGCAGATAATTAATGAACTGTGTGAGCACTCAAACAGAGCGTATAAAAGTTCTATTGTGGAAACAGTCTGTCAACATCCCATGAACGAGCAAAACACTCCATAGATCGAGCCCAATATAAACTTTCCAAACAATACGATTGAGTTTGCGTTGCTCGCGGCACTACCCGAGCGTAAGTTAGCTTTTATCCGATTCTAATCATCGGATTCCTCGGCATAACCGACCATACGGGTTGTGCATGGGCCATTGCCGGGAAATCCTTTCACTGACTGGCTCGGAAGCCCGCCAAAGACGCTCATGTGACGGCATTCGCGGACTTCCCCGTATATATTTCCCGAATTTGAGGGTTTCAACACGCTCTCTGCGGCGCTGAAGAGGGACTAGCTTGCTTGTGCACTGAAGGGTAGTGCCTGGGCCGAGTACTCTTTCGAAAGGTATGTACCACCCAGCCCAGACTATATATACATACCTAGGTACTTCGATCTGCACTAGTCTTCCTCTACCCAGTACCCGTACTATTTCTAACCTTTGGCCAATTGACTTCCCACTAACGCAAAATCAGCGGTCTGTCTTCTAATACCATTAATGGAGCACATTATTAACGTCACCGAGGTCCAAAGCGCGAAAGCTGCATCAAACCATCGCATCGAGCCAAGTACGCAGGACAAGATTGGTTCCCCGGCGATCTCCCAATTCAATCAGGACTACTCTCGGCTCTCATCAAACAGCCCAGAGCCATGCCTACCGCCCAGACAGGAGCCTCAGCCTTCTCCTTTTGAAGTTCGGAAATTTGCCAACCCTGCTCCGCTAGGTCTATGTGCATTTGCGCTCACATCGTTCCTCTCGAATTGCATCAACCTCAATGTGGGAGGTATACAGGCAGCAGGTGTCAGTGTTTCTCTCGCTTTGAATTATGGCGGCATAGCCCAGGTGTTGGCTGGCATGTGGTATGTTCCATCAACTCAACCATACGTATTCGGGATCTCCTTAAAAGATTACCTCATTTTGTGTGTTACCCCGGGCTAATAAGAGCAGGGAAATGGCGATAGGAAATACTTTTGGAGCGACATCGTTCTGTTCTTACGGTGCCTATTGGATCACCTTTTCTCTGATCTCAACTTTTGATACTGCCGATGCTACACAAGCTGTGGCAGATTCAGTATGTCAGAATGAGACCTTGATGGGCCTGTTCATGCTGGTAAGCCACTCGCACCAAACACAGGGATTAGCACATTTACCACATTGTGGGGGTATGTACTAACAGCTTTGTATATAGGCCTGGTTCATCTTCACTACCCTGATGCTTGTATGCACGCTCAGATCTAGCCTTGCGATGTTCTCTCTATTCTTTTTCCTGGACATGAACTATCTCCTACTCGGCATTTCGCACATTCAATGCAGCTCGCATGGCGAGACGCTGATTGCAGTCCAGAAGGCAGGCGGGGTTTTTGGCCTTTTAGCTGCGTTTTCGGCTTGGTATAATGCCTTCGCTGGTATTTGTGATTCCAGTAATGGCTTTTTCACGGTTCCTCTTGGCCATTTTCCTTGGTCTCCGGCTGCCCATCTTCATCGCGCTAAAGCTAAAGAGGTATGAGCTTGGACTAAGGACGGCAAAAAGTAATATGTGTTTTCTCTCTTCGTGGTATGACTCGTCCGTTGTCCGTCGTGGATAGTCTGCGATGAAATAAAAAGTGAAGTCTTCTGAATCTTGACAGCGCGTGATCATGCCGTTCTATATAAGAGAAATTGTATTCTAAAAACGATACTTAAGCTTTAGACCCAAAATACTAACTGCTAAGCTTTGGATTTGACATGGTCCATTCCAAGTCGAGAACTCTGGGCTAATTGTATTTAGTGCTCAGGAGTCAATACAAGGCCTTATAGTTGGCGGGACGGTTCATTATCAAAACTCAAAAATGAAGTCTACCCAAGATTGGGACTCTGGAACACTCTCATGCTTATTCCGACTCTAGTCAAGACGTCCTGCAGTACCCCGGAACCCAGGCCCGAGGCAGGGGTGGAGCCTGGCGGGAACAGCCTGCTCCTGGAGTTTTTGGCCAGAACACCGGAGGCTGGCGTGAGCAACCAGCCCTTTGGGAACTCCCGTTATGGGTAGACGAGAGGCTGGAGTAGCCCTACAGTTGCTCTAGTTATAACCTACCAGACTACAATGCTAGTGCCTTTGCATTCCATCTCTAATGGGACTGCAAAGACTAGGAATGAATGTAGCTTAGGACTCATACAAGCCCTAAAGAGATGAACACTATGGCGGCATATGTAGGCCCAAAGCCGGACCATTTGCCTTAAGAATGCATAGACTTGTTCATCGTCGAAGAAGCTTTATAGAGTCGAAACCCGCCGTGAGTAATGTACGTTGTTGCAATCATATCAATATGATTCACGTTGGCCTGATGCTCACCGCCCGCCTTTCCGCCCTGGGCATTTTGACGGGTTTTTTGTTGCCTTCCGCGAGCCAGCTATTTTAATTCCTCGATCATCGAGTCCCTTGAGACTGATTGTTCACCGCTCCGATTAAGATGAATCGCATTCCACTCGACTGAACAACGCTCTCCCTTCCGCGCACTGTAATGGCCCAGTTTGTTCCACGCAATGCATTCCCCCATTATGGGGCCATTCCGAGGTCCTATTTCTTAGGACACCACAGGGCTGGTCTGACCAAGATGAAGAGCATGCTCTCAACTATCGACTATGTTGTTGAGTGTCGTGACTACCGAGCCCCCGTGACCTCGATCAACCCCATGTTCGAAGAAGCTTTGGGCAAGATGCGACGACTGGTCGTTTACACTAAGAGAGATCTGGGAAGTATTCCCAAATCATCCACCCAGAAAATAGTGAGTGTTTTCTCTGCCTTGGAGTTGGTTAATAGGTCGTCGTTGGATATTGCCTAACACAGCTGCAGACAGAACGCAAATTGCAAAGTTTCGATCCAAAGAGCGCCGTGTTCTTCACCAGCTCATCCTCCCGTCCAGATGTCAGCCAGATCATCAAACACCTTCGAAACGATGCCGAAGCTCCCGATAAGTTAGTAGGCTGTCGAGTGTTAGTTGTCGGAATGCCCAATGTTGGCAAGTCAACACTGATCAACAACCTGCGCAACTCAGGCACGGGCAAAGCCAAGGCTTTGAAAACCGGACAGCAGCCCGGTATCACGCGCAAGGTAGCCACGCAGGTGAAAATCATTGACCGCGAGAACGGGTCACATGTCTACGTTCTGGACACGCCGGGTGTGTTCATGCCGTATGTCCCGGACGCGGAGAATATGCTCAAGCTGGCTCTCTGTGGCTGTGTCAAGGACAATGTCATTTCACCGGTCACTCTCGCCGACTACTTGTTATATCATATAAACCTGAATGATCCGACAGTATACCAGCGGTGGTCGGAACCAACAAATGATGTTGTTCCGTTAATTGAAAGTTTTGCGCGCCAAACAGGCCTGCTGGCAAAGGGCGGAGTGCCGATGATGGATGGGGCCGCACTTCTTTTTATACAAAAGTGGAGGCAAGGAGAGCTAGGTCGATTTTTGGTGGACGACTTAGAAGCAGAGGAACAACGACGGGAAGACCCTACACAACCACCGCGCATGAGCATGACGCAGGCCTTGAGAGCGGAAAGGACAACTCGAAAGAGCAAACCACATGCGACTAGCGATCTGTAACATACTGTACATATAATCAGAGATATTGGTAGATATTTTGGAAATAATAATCAAGTGATGTCATAACGAACAAACGGGGGATGATGCTTGAAATGTGAAGACCTTGCAGAAGCACCTGTAACGCCCAACCCGAGCAAAGGACATGAATGGAAGCAAGGAATCTTGGACGTCGTGTCTAGATCAAGAGATCTTGTCTAGAAGACGGCGCCGCCGCCTATCCACAAGCTCTTCCTGGACCTCATCCATTGTCGGAAGTCTCCATTCCACCCCGTCGCCTGCATCACCAGGTAGAGATTGCCAGCCATCTTCAGCATCATCCTCTCCTTGATGGCGCAGGTGCTCAACAGACTCCTTCTCCTTCTGCTTCTCATACGCCAATAACGTGCCATCTTCTTCATCAAGACCATAGCCGAAGTAGGTGGCATCAACCTTCCTCGTCGCAATATCTCCGCCACGGCCAGACACAGCCTCTTCCTCCGCCGGTCCTTTCGCTTGAGCAATTGCAGCCTCGATCATTTCTTTGACACCAGGTAGCTCCCTCGCACGGCCGTAATATTTATAGCCTCTGCCTCCGCCGGGGATCTCGCGCCCTTCATCATCGTAAAGCCGGCTCGATCCACGCATGTAGTTCGGCCCGCCCAGATTGCGGATTTGCATTTCCCACGCCCATTTCTCGCGCATGAGCTTGTTGATCTCATCATTGAGATCGCGGATTTGGTAATCGCTCAGGCTCTGCACGTGGATGCGTGATACTTTGCGCGAAATTTCTTTGACGACTTGTCCGCGCCAGCGCTCGCATACTGGCACGGTGTCGACGGATGTGATCGCCTTGGGGCGTCGTGTGCGTGAAATATCGATGATTCCGAGGTCGGCTGCTTGCTGCGCTCGGAAGCGGAACAGCATCGACTGCGCTTTTTCACTGTTGCGTGCCTGTTACATAGCGGGGGCTTTGGTTAGCAAAATGTGACTCGACTCGGATATGGGGATTTCCTCGTATAGTGAGCTGAGACGGGTGGGGCTCACCATTGTCAAGAATTGACCAAGTCAGAACCCGAGGAAGTCAGGTATCGTGGGCGTTGGCAGGGAAGAAATCCGGAGAAGGAATCATGAGCTTGACAGCTTGAAGTGAGGTTGCGCGCTAATTGCCGCTTGCCGCGCGGATATCACGTGTCTTTTTTCTGTATCGCATCAACGTCAATCCACCATTCAACAGCCTTGTCTGTTTGGTTTGTTTTCTTAAACCCCACTCTAAAAACGTCAAAGTTTCTTCTAACCCATCAACAGTACTATGGTTATATTCACAGCCAACAGGTTGCGTCATACCTATTCGCCAACGGAGTGTGCCAGTATATATTTGTATTTGATGATATTATACAATATTACACATCGGCTCTGCAGCTCTAGAGTCAATGTTTTTTTGAACAGTCAGGATTCCAAGCTCGACAGGGCGAAAGTGGAGGACAGAAAATTTGGCTGGATCTGCTAAAACCACATGGCTGGCCCTGTCTCTTCCGAAAGATGCATGCACTGCCTATCGTCATAGCAGTCAGGCAATACCGAAATTTATCGGAAGAAAGAGGAATGAGACGAATTACATGGAGGGGTTTTACATTCTCGTCATTGTAGATAGCCTAGTTCACCCGTGGAGCGTATTTACTCATGAACACAAAACGGAGACACAAATGAACGCCGGAAAATAGAGACCAGGGGTTAAAGGCTTAGCCTTTCAAACAATATGAACAAGCCCAAGGCCAGCAGACAAAAAAAAGAAAAGACTGGAACATCCCTTTCCCAAATGCAAATAAACCTCATTAACACAGAACATCCACCCATAACTAATGTTACAACTCCAAGCAGAATCAGCCTGCTAGACATATTTCAAGCCTATTCACAAAAAGCCCTTGGTGTTGCTGGGTTGCCGTTGGGGGATGTCATTAGATCCATAAACAGCACTCCCGCGACGGCTTCCAGCATCACTGAACGCTACGGCACCACGCCCAATAGTACTGCCTCGCTCGACGCGCAGGGCCTTCCAGCCTTCAAGCTCGCGCTCCAGTCGCAATGCTTTCTCGCGCTCCTCGCGGAGATCTCGCTCGGCGCGGCGGGCCAGCAGCTGGGCATCCGAGTCGTTATGCTGGAGCTCTTCGATGTTGCGAAGGAGCCGTTCAATCTTGTCCCGAGCTCTGTTGACATCGTCATTCAGCTGCGTGTTCATCTTGTCCCGCCGGTCAATCTGGGCTTGGAGGTCCTTGACGGTGCGGTCAACATTGCGAAGAGAGCGCTGCTCGGAGCTGTGCTTGCTCTCCTGTTCTTCCAGGTGAGTTTCAAGCTAAACAGCCAGGTTAGTACAAAATCACAAAATTAGAGCGTAGAGCCATTTTAGCTTACCTCTTTGATTCGCTTATGCAAGAAGCGAACATCCTGGCTACCAGAGGAATAGCTCTTGGTTTCAAGATCGACACACCGGAGTTGGGCCTCCTTCAGCTGCTTCTCAAGTGCTGCCTTGTCCTTGAAGAGTTGGGCATTGGCCTCCCGCTCAGCAGTGACCTCTTTCTGCATTTCAGTTGCCAGGGCGTCTGCGCGGCGCATTTTACCAACGGCAGCGGCAGAGACATCTTCCTGCTGCGCAATTCTGGACTTGAGCTCAAGGAGTTCACGGTCCATACTAGCAGCATTTCGCATAGATGGACTTTCACCCTTAGCAAGATCCTCAAGTCGCTCCCCAGCTTCAGCCAATCGGCCTTCCAGCATTTTCTTGTCCTTCAGGAGCAGATCACGCTCTGCCTGGACATCCTCAACGGCGGTCCGAAGGGTGCGCACCTGCGACAAAAGTGAAACGACCTTGCTCTGAGCCTCGTTGTGCGCGTCGACAGCTTCGTCGCGGGAGTTGGTCACATCCTGCAGAACGACATCCATGCGCGATTTCTCCTTAGCCCATGTTGAGCTATTGAGAACTTCGTTGTCCCATTTGCTGCGAAGGTCCTCCAACTCCTCACGTAGACGGGCAGTCTCTCCACGCCCGTTGAGAACACGTTCGCGTTCCATCTCGAGTTCGTTGTTGAGAGTGGAGAATTCTCTCTGGTACTTTTGTCGAGTTTGTTCCATGGAGGTCTCCTTGTCCTCGAGGTCAATCGCGCGCTGGTTGCGGTAATCTTCGAGTTCATTCTGGAGACGTTGCTTAGCCTGCAAGGCACCTTGGAGCTCTGCAGCCTGGTCTTCCATCCGAGCCTCTAGGGACTGTGCCTGTCGCTGCAAGTCTTCAACAAGCGCATCCATCTCCCTGCGCTCGGACATAATCTGAGCACAGGTTTCTTCGGCTTCCTGGCCTTGGGACTTGGCGAACTGCTCGGCGCGTGAAGCCTTTATAACCGCAATTTCGGCCTGCTCAAGCTTGTTGAAGTACTCATCGGAGCGACTCTTGTACAACATGAGGCTTGATTCCAGATCAGCCGACCTTGACGACTCGGCATCTAGGCGAATCTGGAGATCCGAGAATTCTTGAAGAAGCTGGTTACGGCTAGCTGCGTCTTGTTCTCTGCCAACTTGCAGCTCTTGCGCCTCAGAACGGGCATCACGAAGTTCGACCTCTAACGTGGCTCTGGCGCGCTTCAACTTTTCGAAGTGAGCCTTTGCATCACCAAACTCACTCAAAGTTTCATTGTGAACCTTGAGGAGAGAGCGCCTAGATTGCTCTTGCGAGTTGATAAGGTCGTATAATTCTTCGTGCGATTTAGCTTGCACGTCGCGGAGGGATAATTCTCCGGAGCGGATGCTACGCTCCAATGAAGAAACCTTCTTGGAAGAATCGTCGAGTTGGTCGTGAAGCCGGCCATTCTCTCGTTCGAGAAGCTGCATGCGACGAATTGAAGGACTCTCATCCTGCCAGATATCCGCAGCGGGAGTGGAGCGTCCAAGCTGGCTCTGAAGGTGCTTGTTCTGCATCTCGGTTATCTGAAGTTTATTCTGAAGTTCTTCCAGCTCTGCGGCTGTATCCATGCGCCTTTGGTAGCCCTGTGTATCCACTGTTCGGTCGGACCGTGCAGAGTCATTTGGTGCGTCGAAGACATTGTAGCGTCGATTGGGCGTAGTTGGGTTAGAGTATCTCTTAACAGCATTTTCGGAGTTCTTTCTGAGGTGAGCCGGAGTACGGTTATTGGTGACTTCGTTTTGGTCGATCTCCTCGAGCAAAGCGCGCTTGGAGGATGAATATTTGGTATCGAGCTCCTTCATTTCATCCGCATGGCGTCGGCGCATTTCAGCAAGCTGTGCCTCCGCTCTCGCGTACTTCTCCTCGGTCACCCCAAGCTTGTTCTGAACGGTTTCAAGGACTTGGGCCAGATCAACTTGCTTGGAGAGGTGTGGCTGAACAGCCTCCCAGGATTGAGCTGGCTCAGTTGCCTCGGGCTCGAAGACCTTGTGCAATAGGATCAATTGGCGATGTAAGTCCTCGATCTCCTTGTTCGCTCTATCAAGAGTACCCTGGGTTTGACGAGTATTAGCTTGGGCTTGATTGCGAAGTTGTCGTTCGGTTTCGAGCTTCCGATTGGCCTCTGCTAATTGCAGGTTGGCTGTTGAAGCGGCCTTTTCAGCATTACGACTAGTCTTGTGTTCGCGATTGACCTCATGATTCAGATCCTCCAAGCTCAACGACAACTTCTCTTTCTGCTTTTCCAAGGACGTAATCATGACCTGCGAGTCTTCCACTTGACGACTCAATTTCTTGGTCTCCTCGTCGAGCCTGGCCTTCTCCTTTTGAAGATTGGTCAAGCGAAGTCGATTGCTATCACTGGCCTTCGAATTTGATCGGGCGATGTCAAGGTTCTTTTGCTGAATCTTGGTCAAAAGGGACCTGTTGTCGTTTTCGGACGCAGTCAGCCTGCCTCGGAGAGTCACAAGCTCTCGTTCAAGACGCTCCTTGTGCTGGTCATGGCGCAGACGGAAGTTGTCTGATTCAGAGATTGAGTGCATGAGCTCTTGAATCCGTCCTGAGAGGTGTGATC